GCTGCGTCTTGAACTCCGACCTCAAGATGATCCACCGTGCCATGGCCTCCCAAAGTGCAGCCGATTTATAGGCATGAGGAGCCACCGCGCCTGGCCATAGACCCAGTATTCTTAACCAATATATAACCATAATGAGGGATTGGTCCCATTCAGTGTGTGAGGTATGAACAACTTAGTTTTATGCAAAAGAGAACTTGCTGCTTTCATTAGAGGGGATAGAGGTCTGTGTGTGGCTTGGGATTCTTGGAGCATAGCAGCTGGGTTTCAAAAGGGAGCACCCAGAAAGCAAGCATTCTAATGGAACCAATGGCAGTTGCAGGATTGTTTATGATCTAGCCTCAGAAATCACAGTGTCACTTCCACTAACCTGTATCTTTTTTTTTTTTTTTTTTTTGAGATAGGTTCTTGCTTTGTCTCCCAGGCTGGTGTGCAGTGGCATAATCTTGGCCCACTGCAACCTTCACCTCCCAGGTTCAAGTGATCCTCCCGTCTCAGACTCCTGAGTAGCTGGACTACAGGCACATGCCAGCATGCCCGGCTAATTTTTGAATATTTTTTTGGTAGAGGTGGGGTTTTGCCATATTGCCCAGGCTGGTCTCAAACTCCTGGGCTCAAGCAATCTACCTGCCTTGGCCTCTCAACGTGCTATGATTACAGGCATGAGCCACCGTGCCCAGCCAACTACTATGCTTTATTAATTAAAGCAATGTATTAGTCAGAATTCTGCAGAGGAACAGAACCAATAGAGAGAGAAAGAGAGACAGAGACAGAGACAGACACAGACACAGACACACACACACACACACACACACACACACACACACAGAGGGGGTATGTGTGTGGTGGGGGAGGGTGAAAGAGAGAGAGGATGGAGGTGGGCAAGTATCAGGATCTTCCGAGGGAGTCAGCAAGCTGGGGATGCAGGACAGCCATGATTTTGTTCCAGTCTGAGTCCAAAGGACTGACAACCAGGAGCAGTTCCCATCTGAAGGCCGGCAGGCTGGAAACCCATGAAGAACTGATGTTTCAGTTCACATCCAAAGGCAGGAAAAAAACGGATGCCCTAGCTCAAGGCAGTCAGGCAGGAGGACTCCCTCTTACTCTTGGGAGGGTCAGCCCTTTTGTTCTTGAAAACAAAAGCTTTCAGCTGATTGTATGAGGACCCCTGTTCCATATTGGATCATCCAAAGACCCTCACAGAAACACCCAGAATAATGTTTGAGCAAAAATCTGGGTAACCCATGGCCTGGTCAAGTTGACATAAAATAAATAGTCACAAGCCTGTTGAGATTCAAGTTTCAGAAGTGCTGAATAAGATGAACGTTTTTGAATTAGGTGAATTAGATGAACGCTTTCAGCTTAAATTTTTATGATTATGTGAATTGACTCTAAAGCAGTGAGGGAATCAGAGAAAGAAGTGAAAAAATGGGGGAGTATATGGAGGTAAGCCCAATGAGCAACAATATGTGTGAGTTAAGATCTTTTTGAGAAATGTAACAGGCCAGCTACTTATTATAAATGAACAGTAATTCTGAATTCAGCGATAATGTAGTTAAATCGAGCAGAATCAGTTTCTTGTATTCCTACCTGGTTGGAATGTAAGCAATTGGCAATGGGTCCCTGGTTCTACTGTGAGACCTGTAGCCTCAGAAAAATCACAGATCATTCTAGAGCAGGGCTATCCAATAGAACTCCCCTGCAGTGATGAGAACATTCGACATCTGCACTGTTCTGTATGGGTGACTACTGGCCACCTGTAGCCGCTGGGTACTTGAAATGAGGCTAGTGTGACTGAAGAACTGAATTTTAAATTGTATTTAATTTTAATTAAAATTTAAACAGCTACATGTGGTTAGTGGCAACTGTAGGGGACAGCCCAAATCTAGGACATTTCTTTTGGTTCTTAAGATAGAACCATGTAGTCTGCAGCTAGGGAACTGCCAGTGTTTGCCTTGACTCCCAGGAAGGTATGACAGAGTCCCAACAGCCTTATGCCTGAGGAAGGGCCCTGAGTCATTTCCACTCACCACCACCATTTCCACCCCCATCACCAACAAAATAAAACTAATCTGTCTCAGCTCTTTGAGCTTCTGGAAATATTTGCCTGTGTCCTGGCACATCCTTTTTGGAGTTTTAGACTTGTGCTTTGTTTGGCTTCAGGACCTGTATGAGGCTGGAGAGAAGAAATGGGGGACAGACGAGGTAAAATTTCTAACTGTTCTCTGTTCCCGGAACCGAAATCACCTGTTGCATGGTAAGGCACTTCATTTCCCAAAGAAAGGGTGTGAAAGATAGCAAAAACTGTATTGCCCATAAGTAATTGATAACCTTTCTCTTTCAGTGGGTACAAAGAACTGATTGTACCCAAGTGTCTTAGATTCTCACCCTGGAAATGTATTAGTCCAATGACGTGTATGAAAGCTAATTTCTGAAAGATTAATTATGAATAATTAGCAAAAGTGCATGTAGTCATAGAAGTTTGGCATTCTTGTTTCTAGGAAACTGACCTTCATAGTCAGTCATTTTTCTAAAGTAGCCCCAGTATTTTCATTCTAATTTAGTTACATATGAAAGTAATCTGTAGTAGATCAGGTAGCAATAAAATAGCAATGTTGGTTGATATTTATTCCTGTGTACTATCCAAGCTGTAAAGCTAATACAAGTGATTTCTTTAGGGGTTACGTTGTATAAGATGAATAATGGATAATTTCAAATTTGAAATGTTTCTGATTTGTTTCTGATAAATATAAACTTTGTAATGTGATTTTAACTTATTTGGGGGAAAGATACTAGACAATTTTAGAATATTTGCTGTCAGGTTTATATTCTTTTAAACAGCAGTAAGGGTTTAATAACATATTTCATCTTTTATACGAGTTCTTTAGATCTTTAAGTACATTATAATTTTATAAACCCACCCACCATACCTTTTTAGTCACACACACTGATTTGCAAAGCCTGTGGGAAATTTGAGAATGAGTTTGTTAAATTGAAAACATAAAGCAATTGAGAAGTACAACACATTCTGAAGTTGTAATTATTTCAGATTTTTCACAGTGACAAAAAACAGGTGATTACTCCCGTTAATCAATATCCTAGGCTACCATCAGAAACACAAACTTCTGACTCAGCTTCTTACTTCATTTCCTTCCCTTGCCTGGTTACAAATAATAGGAATCTCCCCCTGGTGGTATTTTCCAAGAACTGCAGGTCCTCAGAAGCCGATTTAGTGCATAAATGCATTTGCAAGCATTTTCACTTCTGGGTGCAAGTCAATAGTTAGGCAATTATGAAATATCTGTTTGTAAGCCGCCGGGAGAAAATATTTTAAGCGCTGTTTGGATTAGGAAAACTTCATAATTGTCTTACCAACCAACAATAATGGTGAGGTTTCATAATAACTATGGTTTTGTTAATAATTTTCTATTTTCTAGGTGCAGTGTTAAGCATTTTATAAGCATTGTTTCTTGCAACACCCAGTGGAGCAGTAATTATTTTCTCCGTTTTACAGTGGAGAAAACTGAGGCTTAGAAATGTGTCAATTAAGTTCTTTGATTCCAAGCCACACACACTGACTTCAATTTAAGTAAGAAAATATGAAATAATATAGAATGGCACAAGAGGGAAAATGGAAAATACTGGTAGCTCACAGATTTATACAGAGAGCTGAACACCTTCAGGAAGAACAGCAATCAGGGCAGTTCTGGGGGTCTCAGTAGAAGGGAGTAATGGATTTTATTTCTAAAGCAGAGTTTCTGAAGTTCGTTCTCTATTTAAAATGCTCATTATTGACCCCCTACTTGAGACTGGCTGAATTAGAACCTCTGAGTGTGACACCCAGGAGGTTTAACAGGTTTCTCTGAGGGTAAAGATGACGCAGTGCTTTTGGCCATCCCCGTGAGCTGCTCAATTAAAAAGTTCCCAGGAGAGAGTCTAATGGGTCCTGACTGGGTGAACTGCTCACGTGTTTGACAGAGGTTGTGGTGTATGTTGTTGAGTATGGTGTCCCTTGATTGACAGCCCTGTTAAAATCACATTGATGGAAGTGAGGCAGCACCCCAAAGAAGGCGATGGTGGGAAGATAAAATGGATACCTGCTCTAAGAAGGTTCCAGAAGGAGACAGCAAGAGAGGGAAACATATTCACCACATTCAAAAATACTTAGGAAAAAAAAAAAACAAATGTAATTAAGTTTAAGTATTTTTAAAGATGCAACCAGCTGTTATTAACTGTGACTCAGTTTTGAAGGGGTTGAATTGTTCTAGTTTTGTTGAGCCAAAAGGAAGATGACAGGGAGGTGATTGCCAAGGACAAAAACACAAAACGACACATTCTGCTTATTAAGGAAACAATGAGAAAGGAAAGCAAAGGTCCCCAGAGGCCATCTCCATTTTATGTACAAGGGTCCCACATAAGGGAAAGGACTTGACTGGTGTCCTCCAAACATCACAGCATTTCTTCCTTCTTGTCCACTCTGCACCTCCCTCCTGTGTGCTTGCCCACATTACTAATTAGTTTCCTCCTCAAGTATGCTGAAGAATAAATAGTGTAGGCTAGTTAAAAATGCTCATTTGCTCCATAAATTTCAGTTTCCTCTATTTTTTCTTCCCAATAATACTATTTTGTTATTGTTTGCAGTGTTTGATGAATACAAAAGGATATCACAGAAAGATATTGAACAGAGTATTAAATCTGAAACATCTGGTAGCTTTGAAGATGCTCTGCTGGCTATAGGTAAGCTGGTAGGGGGAGTAGAGAAACAAATGTCTATAGATTTTCCTTCTCATTATCAACTTGCAATATGGGGATATAGAATTATTTTCAGAGATAAAAGTTGTTTGAATCACTCATGGTACATTCCAGGTTTTTAAACAACAAATATCATATACAACCTGATTGCTATTGTGCCACGTGGTTTATATATTTTATATCTTCTATGCTTTTGTATGTCCTATGTGAAAGGTAATAGTGTGCAGATAAACAAGCTGCAGCTTGCAAGTCTGTGAATGGTTAGAAACTAGTAACTGTCTCATATGGCAGATACAATAATCCTCATTTTGAAACGAAATACCACCCTTTGCTTTGATAGACTTTATCAATTACTTCTCCAGGAACTTGATGATAAATCGAGGGTACTTTCTATCTGTGAAAATACATAGAGCATAGCCTATGTTCATGAAACATTGCTTGGCTAAAATTTCCCTGGCAAAGCAAATATTGATACCTTGTAGAAACAGAGGAAACAACTGTCACTTTCCTTTTTTCATGGGTCTTATCTGTAATCTTTTCATTTCTTCTTTTTTATTTTTCTTTGCCAGTAAAGTGCATGAGGAACAAATCTGCGTATTTTGCTGAAAAGCTCTATAAATCAATGAAGGTAAATGGCCTTATTTTTAGCATGTAAATGAATTTGAGTTATCTTGTGTCCACCTTCTTAAGCTTACTTATATCCCCTATCCAAACTTTGCTCTGAAAGATCCAATTCAATTCATGGAATACTTCAGTGAGTGCCTGCTAATAATAATACTAGGTGATATTTACTGAGTACTTAGGATGTGTGGATCACTGTTTTTAATAGATTAATTATATCCCCACAACAGCTCTATGAGGCTGGTACTATTACTAACCCCCAATTTACAGATGAGGAAACTGAGGCATAGAAAGGATATGCAGTTTGCCCAAGATTCTCAGTGAGGAAGTAATGGAGCTAGAATGCCAGGTAAACAGCTGGCATTCTAGCTCCAGAGCCCATATTCCTAACCCTCCATCGTACTCTGCAGGCACCTGTGCTGAGAATCACAGGAGGTGCAGGGAAGGTCAAAATGTAGTCTTTGGCCAGGTGCAGTGGCTCCTGTAATCCCAGCACTTTGGGAGGCTGAGGCGGGTGGATTACTTGAGGTCAGGAGTTCAAGACCAGCCTGGCTATCATGGTGAAATCCCTGTTGCTGCAAAAATACAAAACTTAGTCAGGTATGGTGGCTCACGCCTATAATCCCATCTGCTTGGGAGGCTGAGGCAGGAGAATCACTGGAACCCAGGAGGCAGAGGTTGCAGTGAGCTGAGATCGCACCACTGCACTCTAGCCTGGGTGACAGAGTAAGACTCTGTCTCAAAAAAAAAAAAGCAAAACAAAACAAAAAAATGTAGAACTTGCTCTCAAAGAATGTCTAGCCTAGACAAGTATGTGCAAAACACCAATTGAGCAGGACCTTCCAAATGTAAAAGTTTTACATCAGAGGATTTCACATGGTGAGGGGAAGGGGTGATAAGGCTGGGGAGGGAAGGATAGTACTCTATGAGAAGGAATCGTTGGTGAGCCAGGTGGCAGGGTATGTCTGGACAGCACAGGTTATGGCTCTAGAAAAGCAGGGAACAGCATCCTGTGGTCAGAACATATAGCACTGGAAAAGTGAATTGTGGAGAGCCTTGAATACCATGATGAGGAGTGAGGATATTCCTCAGGACTGCCAAGCAGTGGAGCAGAGGACATCATCAGCACAGTCATCTCTAGTCTTGCTTTGGCAGACTAAAGAAGACACTGAAGAACAGCGAGGTTATTGTATATGTTTGGATTTCGTTTTCTTCCTTAGGGCTTGGGCACCGATGATAACACCCTCATCAGAGTGATGGTTTCTCGAGCAGAAATTGACATGTTGGATATCCGGGCACACTTCAAGAGACTCTATGGAAAGTCTCTGTACTCGTTCATCAAGGTAGGTCACAGCAGCCTCAGTCCAGAGGAAAGGATCCAGAAAAGGACCCCTCTGACCTTGGCATTTAGCACTTGTCCCCTCTTCTTGGTATATATAATTTCCTTTAAAGATGATACTCCCGATATTTCCAGTCTCTCTTCTTTCACACAGATATTTAAACCTTTGCCAGGATACAAGCTGGAAATTTGCCTTCTAAATACAGTAATTATTTTATGTTGACCCCAGACAAAGATTACATTTTAATGAATACTTTTAAGCCCACAATTTCCTTGTCTACCTAATTATGATAGAAGATAAACAACTGAATCCAGAGTCCTATGCAGGGCCAGCTGAGGTCTGCTGGGAACATGGAAAAGCATTTTAGTTATCCTGAATTACTGTTCTTTACCAGGCACCAGACTTCTAGGAGTCCTAAGAGGGCATGGTAGTGGTGAGAAATGATTCACCTCCCTCAAAGCCAGGCATTCCTGGGATTTTGTTTCTTGAGGATTCCAGAAGAGTCTCATGGACATGAAAGTGAGACAGATTTCCCTAGCAGCTAAGGTTGCCTGCACTGCAAGCTTCAAATTAGCATTTGATCTGTGAATTAAATATTCTGAATCTTACTCAAAGCTTGGAGAGGTGTGACAGTTAGGTGATTTAAACTGCAGATTTTTCTCTTTTTTTTTTTTTTTTTTTTGAGATGGAGTCTCACTCTGTCACCCAGACTGGAGTGCAGTGGTACAATCTCCACTCACTGCAACCTCCACCTCCTCGGTTCAAGTGATCCACCTGCCTCAGCCTCCTGAGTAGCTGGGACTACAGGCATGAGCTTTGTATTTTTTATAGAAATGGTGTTTCACTGTGTTGGCTAGGCTGGTCTTGAACTCCTGACCTCAAGTGATCCACCCCTCGTGATCTCCCAAAGTGCTGGGATTACAGGCATGAGCCACCGTGCCCCACCAAGCTGTGGATTTTGTTACCATGTCTGCAAGGCATGCAGGAACTTGTTTCTATGTCTGGCTAGGCTATTAGGTAACTTGATTTTGCAGAGCTGAACTGTATAACTAGTTTAAGATTCAAGGATGACAGTAAGTGAAGTTATGGGAAAATATACTACAAACAAGAAAAAAACAAAATAAAAAAACCCCAGGAAATGACAAATGATTTATGGATGATATGGAGAGACTAGAACTCTCGTGCACCATTGGTAGGAGTGTAAAGTGGTGCAGCCACTGTGAAAAACAGTCTGTTAAGAAACTTTAAGCACCAAACTTCTTCAAAAAGTTTAATATAGACCAGGCATCGTGGCTCACGCCTGTAATCCCAGCACTTTGGGAGACCGAGACGGGTGGATCACTTGAGCCCAGGAGTTCAAGACCAGCCTAGGCAACATAGTGAGACCCTGTCTCTACAAAAAATACAAAAATTAACTGGGTGTGATGGTGCACGCCTGTAGTCCCAGCTACTCAGGAAGCTGAGGTGGGAGGATCACCTGAGGCTGGGGAGGTCAAGGCTACAGTGAGCCATGATTGTACCACTTCAAGACTCCAGCCTGAGTAAAGACCCTTCCCAAAAAAGAAAAAGAAAAAATTTTAACATAGGATGACCACATGATCCAGCAATTCCACTCTCAGTTATATACTTAGATGAAAACAGGAACTCAAACAGCTAGTTGTACATCAACATAAACATTATTAACAATAGGCACAGGGTGAAAACAACCTAAATATCTATCAACAGATGTCTAGATAAACAAAATATATATATACATACATAAAAAGCAGTGACATTCAATGGTAGGCTGTCATGAAAAAAAGGAATGACATTTTTGATACATGAATGAACCTTGAAAATATACTAAGTGCAATAAATCAGACACAAAAGGACAAATATTGTATGATTCTGCTTTATGAAGTATGTAGAATAGGTAGATTCATAGGGACAGAAGGTAGATTAGAGGTTACCAGGAATTTGGAAGGACAGGAAAGAATGGGAGTTATTGGTTAGTGGGTACAGAGTTTCTGTTTGGGGTGATGAAAGGGTTTTAGAAATAGACAGTGATGATGGTTACAAAACATTGTAAAAGGAACGTTGAAAATGGTTAAAATGACAAATTATATATATATATTTTTTTAACACAATAAAATGTCTCCGAAAGAATTTAAATAAAATTATTTAATGAAATGTCAAAAGAGTAGACTAAGTATTATAATGCTTCATCATAGCATTATTTATATTATTTACATTGCTTTATGTTATTTATATTTATATCAATAATATGGTATTATAGTATATAATTTTATATTATTATTACTATTAATCAATAGGGAATAACTTAAATTATGGAAAATCCATACAATATAATACTATACCAACACTAAAATGATTGAGTACAAATATATTGATTGGCTTGGGAAGAAAACACTATAATCTAGTGTATATATGTCTGTATATATAAATATGTAAATATATGTGTGTATACACACACACCACTAGAAAAGATTAAAAATAAAGAATACATTGCTCATTCAATAATAGTTGTCAAAAGAAACAAAAGACGCAGAATAGAATAATAAAATATGTAAATAATAGAAAAAAATGACAAAAGATAAAAATAAAAGTTATAAAAATAAACTCTCAAGTTAGGTAAAAACATAAAATCCAACTTCATGCTGTTTATAAGAAACAACTAAAATATAGTGACATGTAAAAAGCTTAAAGAAAAACACCAGGGAAAGAAAGCGAACATATAAGAAAGAAAGTGGAAATTATGCTATTAGTAAAAAGAAGAATTTACGGAGAAAAAGTATTAAATAGGAGAGAGTGGATCACTTTATACTGACAAAGGCAACAATTCACAGCAAAGATTGAACTGTTATGAAACTTCAAGTACCAAATCATATTGCATTGAAATGTATAAATAAGAAACTCGAGGCTCCAGAAGAAAACATATAATGGAATTACTATGCTACTGAGAGACTTTAATACATCCTATGCTTTGGCAGATCAGTAAGGCAAAGTATAAACAAGGATATATTAAGATTGAGTTTAACAGATATTTATTAAACTTCGAAACCTATATACAGAGATTCCATCTTTTCTAGTCCCCACGAATGACTAATAAAAATTAATCTAGGCCAGGTGCAGTGGCTCACACCTATAATCCCAGCATTTTGGGAAGCTGAGGTGGGAGGATCGCTTGAGCCCAGGAGTTCGAGGCTGCAGTGAGCAATGACCACACCACTGTACTCCAGCCTGGGTGATATAGCAAGACCCTGTCTCTAAAAATATAATATAAATAAATAAATAAAAGATTAAAAAATTAATCAATTATTATGACCACTAAAATTTCTATGTAGAAATTATAGAACCTTTCTGGAAGACTGTTTTGTAACCCATATCAAAATGTTTAAGTAAACAGGTTGGGTGCAGTGGCTCACACCAGTAATCCCAGTACTTCGGGAGGCTGAGGTGGGTGGATCACTTGAGGTCAGGACTTCAAGACCAACTTGGCCAACATGGTGAAACCCCGTCTCTATTAAAAATACAAAAATTAGCCAGGCGTGGTGGTGTGCACCTGTAGTGCCAGCTACACAGGCAGCTGAAGCAGGAGAATCGCTTGAACCTGGGAGGCGGAGGTTGCAGTGAGCCAAGATTGCACCACTGCACTCTAGCCTGGGCTACAGAATGAGACTCCATCTCAAAAAAAAAAAAAAAAAAGATTTAAGAAAATGCATTTAGTCCAGTAATTCCTATTTTATGAAAATTTATCCAGAATAAATCATTAAGAAAATATACAAAAATGTAACTACAATATGCTTATTGAAGCAGTGTTTATAATAGTGAAAAATTGAAACAACATAAATATCCAACAATAGGGAGAGGGAGGATGTGATTAAATAAATTATTTTACCTACATACAATGGGATATTCTGTAACCATTAAATAATGTTGTAGAATAATATTTAACAAAATAGGGGTCTGGCACAGTGGCTCACGCCTGTAATCCCAGCACTTTGGGAGGCCGAGGTGGGTGGATCACTTGAGGTCAGGACTTCAAGACCAACCCGGCCAACATGGTGAAACCCGGCCTCTACTAAAATTACACAAAACAATTAGCTGGGCATGGTGGCGGGCACCTGTAGTCCCAGCTACTCTGGAGACTGAGGTAGGAGAATGGCGTGAACCCGGGAGGCGGAGCTTGCAGTGAGCTGAGATCCGGCCACTGCACTCCAGCCTGGGCAACAGAACGAGACTCCATCTCAAAAAAAAAAAAAAAAATTAACAAAATAGGGAAATAGGCTATATTGTTAAGTGAAAAAGCAGAACACAGAATACTACTGTTCTATCACATTGGGTATCTAGATACATAGAAAAAAGACTGGAAGGACATTCACACATCAAAATGGTAAAATAGTAGTCTCTAGATGATGGAATAATGGTTGATTTTTGTGTTCTTTTTTGTCTTTATTTTCTACACTGAATGAGTATTACCTTTGTAATAAAAAATAACAAAAAAAAAATTTAAAGCTAAGAAAAATCCAGCCAAGCTTGAAAAAGTTGGCTTAGATGACTTTGAACTGTGTGTTTTGTTTCAAAATCTATTTATCTAACTTTGCTTCCCTATCCAACAGGGTGACACATCCGGAGACTACAGGAAAGTACTGCTTGTTCTCTGTGGAGGAGATGATTAAAATAAAAATCCCAGAAGGACAGGAGGATTCTCCACACTTTGAATTTTTTTAACTTCATTTTTCTACACTGCTATTATCATTATCTCAGAATGCTTATTTCCAATTAAAACGCCTACAGCTGCCTCCTAGGATATAGACTGTCTGTATTATTATTCGCCTATAATTAGTCATTATGATGCTTTAAAGCTGTACTTGCATTTCAAAGCTTATAAGACATAAATGGAGATTTAAAAATAGAAATAAAAATGTATTCCATGTTTTTAAAAGATTACTTTATACTTTGTGTTTCACAGACATTGAATATATTAAATTATTCCATATTTTCTTTTCAGTGAAAAATTTTTTAAATGGAAAACTGTTCTAAAATCACTTTTTTCCCTAATCTAATTTTTAGAGTAGCTAGTATTTTCTTCATTTGAAATCGTAAGCATCTGGTTAGTAAGAACGCCCATCCAGTTTTCTATATTTCATAGTCAAAGCCTTGAAAGCATCTACAAATCTCTTTTTTTAGGTTTTGTCCATAGCATTAGTTGATCCTTACTAAGTTTTTCATGGGAGACTTCCTTCATCACATCTTATGTTGAAATCTCTTTCTGTAGTCAAAGTATACCAAAACCAATTTATCTGAACAAACTAAATTCTAAAGTGTGCTTATACAAACCATATACATCTGGTTACCAAACATAAATGCCGAACATTCCATATTATTATAGTTAATGTCTTAATCCAGCTTGCAAGTGAATGGAGAAAACAAATAAGCTTCAAACTAGGTATTCTGGGAATTATGTAATGTTCTGAATTTAGTTTGATATACAGAAAACTTTTTTGTGCTAAAAATACTTTTTAAAATCTTTTTCAATTTTGTTGATTGTAGTAATTTCTGTTTGCACTGTGCCTTTCAACTCTAGAAACATTCTGAAGATGTACTTGGATTTAATTAAAAAGTTCACTTTGTATGAATGTGGAAAAATAATTTTAATTTTAAAATGGTGTCTTTAGGCTGGGGGCAGTGGCTCACGCCAGTAATCCCAGCACTTCGGGAGGCCAAGGTGGGTGGATTACCTGAGGTCAGGAGTTCAAGACCAGCCTGGCCAACATGGAGAAACCGCATCTCTACTAAAAATACAAAAATTAGCCGGCTGTGGTGGCAGGTGCCTGTAATCCCAGCCACTCAGGAGGCTGAGTCAGGGAGAATTGCTTGCACCCAGGAGGCAGAAGGCGAAGGTTGCAGTGAGCCGAGATCATGGCAGCCTGGGCGACAGAGCGAGAAACCAAATCTTAAAGGGATGGGGAGGGGAGTGTTTTTAAAATGAGGTATAGTCTTTCTCTGATCCACTTTTCACCTTCTGAGGTTTTTCATCCCGATCCCTGAAAGGAGCTATTTTTGAAGGACTTGTGTTACTCAGTTTCTATAGGAATTAAAATATAAGGAAAAAAATCACATATTTAGTCTTATGTGTGCCTACTGGCTAATGTTCACATATGCCAAACACTACTCAATATCATAAAATAATGTATGAACTTATTCTCTGGAAATGAGTGATGCTGTCTGCTCTAAGTAGACCATTTATATTAAATATCATAAATGTATAAAAGACATATTATAGTAAGAATACTTGCCTTCTTTGTTCATTTTATAACATCCGTTGTATTTTGGTGGGTGGAATAATAAGAATTTTTAAGTTTTGTGTTGTTTATTATAAAAGCTACAGCTACTGGTAGAAGCTACTTATGTGAATATTTAGTCACTCCAGTTACTTACAGGAAATAATACTGCCATTTGAATGCCTTTCCAGAAGACCACAGAATCTCCAAATCAGCTTTATTTTGTCTTTGGAAGCACGGTGAATTTTTTGGTAGAAGTTTTATCTTTAAATGATACATAGGTTGGCCAAAATTTTAAAACAAATAGCATTTATTCACCAGAAGATTTCCAGAAGGTAGGATAAAGTCACCCTGGAGGAAAGTTTGTCATATTGAATTAGCATGACTTTGAGATATAATTATGAAGTAACTTTGTTTTTCCCTCCCACTGTCCACTGACATTTATTCAGCGGGCCTAGTTCTTTTAGATGTAGATTCAGATAGAGAATAGAGTCATAACTTTTCTGTTCACTCTTAGGTTTTAAAGTCCTACTGTGTAGTCCCTTAAGGTCATAAAACAGTGTCATTTTAGTAAGTAATATATCCAGTCAAAATTCTAAGCTTGATTTATAGTTGAGGCTTCTTCCCTCACTTACTTCTGGCTTACTGCCAGTAGGAAGCTGGTTTCTGGGGAAAGGGTGACCATGGGCTTCTCTTCTTTTTCCACCTAGGTTTCCTTCCACGTTCTTCCCCTGCCCCAACCTACCATGTCTGGGTTGTAGCAGAGCAGAGAGTTAAGGGGAGCAGGAAAGCTGTTACCTGACTGTCATTGCTGTAGTGGTAGAGGATCAGCCCTGCGTGACTCTGACAGACTAAAGTTGATTCTTGTGGGCATTCTTGTGGGTTCCTTTGTCGACCTCATCATGCTACTCACCTGCGGTTCCTTTGGCAAGGCAAATGTGTACTCCTTTTTCAGCCTCTAGGAATTTGGTGACTCTTTGAGGTTCTCAGTGCTGAAGTTCATTGCTTTCCTCCCAGACCTGTTGGGCAGGACCCAAGATGATTCCATCCCAGCTATCTCATGGTGGTCCACATCTGCTCCATGGGAAACACCTGCACGTTCTTTGTGCTGGCAAATTCTGTGTATGCAAGCTGATCCCTCTGCAGCCATCATTCTCCGCCTCCCACCTCCACCCCAAGCTGCCTTGGCTAGCCTCTCTCAGTTCAGATTTCTCATACATGAATCAGACATTAGTCCACTGGGGCCCTCAAACTACGTATACTGCCGATGGGAGTCTAAATTGGTACATTGATGCAATCAACCCAGACAGCAATTTAGTAATAGCTAACAAAGCTGCAAATTTCCCAGCAAATTCACTTCTGGGAATCGGCTTGGCGAATCCATTGCACATGATGTTCATTGCTGCTCTGTAAAGCCGTTAAAGTAGAAATAACCTCTCTCACTAAGGAATATAAAACAAATATGGTTCAGTCATTCAATGAGCAGTGAAAATTATCTAGCAATTGACCAAATGGACAAATCTCGAGAGTATAATTTTGAGAGGAGAAAGGTGCACAGTGAGAGGTACAGCTATGATTCCGTTCCATGATATGTCTAAATATGCAAAAGAAAATATTTATGGGTACGCATATAAGGACATACATGGACATAATGATATACAACATTCTCAGCACAGTGATTGACACTGGGGAGGGAGACAGAATGAGATGGAGGAGGTACACAGGGGCTTCTGCCTATCTGTATTGTTCTATTTAAAAAGAATGAATCATTGATTACACCTCAATAAAGCGGAGAGAAAAAAAAGAATGAAACCAAGTATGATAAAATTTCAAGCTAGTGGTGGGTCCACAGGAGAAATATTTTTATTATTTTACTTAAAAAGTAACAGAAGGGAGTCAGGGAGTGAACGCTCGCTGTCCGGAGTCCATCACAAGAGCAGCTCCTCCAGGCAGACACTTGTCAATTTTGCTAGGGCCTCCTGAAGGCACTTTTTTGAGTACGGACAGTCATGGTGCCAGACCCTATTCGGACATCCCACTGGCACTTGATAGGAAAGAAAGGAGTGCCGGGAACGTTCCCATAACTTAACGGGTTCCTTTCACGTCTACAGCAGGGTAGGGCTCCTGTTAAGGAAGCCCAGGAATCCAGCATAGCGCCTCATCCTAGGGCCCCTCTCACAGGAGGCCACGCCCAACAAAGCAGAGCGCGGTCCCAGCAAGCGCCGAGCTCCCGCAAGAAGACCAAATAGCTTCGGGGTTTTGCCACTTGCTTAGCACAGGCCCATAAGCACCGGGGGCTCAAGGCACCTTTGTAGAAAGAATGCGCGACTGAAGTCCCAAGTCTTGCCACTACAAAGGCGTGTGTGAACTACGGCTTAACACTGCGTCTACGCCTAAGTTCATATTAGTAGGAGGCCAGGCCCACCGCAGCCCCGAAAACACCGGCCCGTACGAGCACGCCGCGTTGTGCGCAGGCTCCACCTGCCACGCACGCACGCCTGCCTTGCCCCGCCCCTTCCGGAGGCTCGCCACACGCATGCGCCCGCCGGCCCGCGCTTTGTTGCGAAAGCGAGGGGGCGAGGTTCTGCGGTGCTAGCGCGCGGAGCGACCAGAAGCTGCGGGCGGGGCGGAGGATGGAGGCTGTAGCGTCCGCTGCAACGGTTGGAGCTGCGCGTGAGAAGGTGGCGGTGTAGGCATCTGCGCTCGGGGAAGGCTGGCGGCGGTGGCCGGGCCATGGCGGGAGACCCCCTTCTCTGGGCTCCCTGAAGTCTCGGGGAGCCGTGACCCATGGGATCGTTGAGCAGCCGGGTGCTGCGCCAGCCTAGACGAGCCCTTGCCCAGCAGGCGCAGGGTGCCAGGGCGGGGGGCTCGGCCCGGAGGCCGGACACTGGAGACGATGCGGCGGGCCACGGCTTCTGTTACTGTCCAGGCAGCCACAAGCGCAAGCGGAGCAGCGGGGCCTTCTGCTACTGTCACCCTGACTCGGAGACGGATGAGGATGAGGAGGAGGGGGACGAGCAGCAGCGGCTCCTCAACACCCCTCGAAGGTACGTGGGGGCACGCACCCGCGCGGGCGCGGACCCGCACCTGTTGGGCCTGGGGCCGAGCCGGCGCCCCGTGAGCTTGCGGGGTGCAGCGCTCTCCAGCCTGTGAAGAGGGGTCGTGCCCTTGACAAGTGAATGTGGAAGCCGGCCCAATGCCAGACGGACGGGGGAGCGCCTTGGGAGACGCCTGGTATTCTGCATTTTTAACCACAGACGCTTCCAGGGTGTTGTTACAGCCCCAAGATGAGGATGAGAAATGCCAAGCCCGAGCTCGCGTCTCGTTAAACCTTAGAGACGCCTGGCTGGCTGGCCTTCCCAGTCCACCTTTGCCCTCTCAAGTGGGTAGCCGCAGACTAAGTTGTTTTGCATCCGGTTGCCTTAGTACAGACACTAAATGTAATCTCTGAAATGGGCACTCTTACTGTCGCCCACTCAGTGGAGGGGAAATAATTGCACACAGGAGTTCTCGTTAATCGTAAAGGTGAAGTTTATCAATAGTGTACATTTATTCCTAACCAGGAACAGAGTTTGTGCAAGTTTCTAGTAGTTGAAGTCGTTGACCGTGGATGTACTGTATGTAGGGCGGTGCTGCTGCAGCCTGCTTAACTTTTTTTTTTTTTTTTTTTTTGATGAGTTGAAAGATGGAATATTGACTTGTGACCTGGAATTGGAATGTAGTTTATAGGTAGAATATATTCTTACACAAACAATTTGGTTTTTCTGCTTTTGTTTTTAAAGGTGATTTGGTAGGGTCACAGATGAAATTTTTTTAATGATTTCTTTTTCTTTTTTTTTTTTTTTTTTTTTTTTTTTGAGACGAGTCTTGCTCTGTCGCCCAGGCTGGGGGTGCAGTGGCCGGATCTCAGCGCACTGCAAGCTCCGCCTCCCGGGGTTGATGCCATTCTCCTGCCTCAGCCTCCCGAGTAGCTGGGACTACAGGCACCCGCCACCTCGCCCCGCTAGTTTTTTGTATTTTTTAGTAGAGACGGAGTTTACACCGTGTTAGCCAGGATGGTCTCGATCCTCTTGACCTCGGGATCCGCCCATCTGGCCTCCCAAAGTGCTGGGATTACAGGCTTGAGCCACCGCGCCTGGCCTCTTTTTCTTTTTTTCTTTTTCAGACAGAGCCTTGCTCTGTCACCCAGGCTGGAGTGCAGTGGTGCGATCTCAACTCACTGCAACCTCCACTTCCTGGTTCAAGCGATTCTTGTGCCTCAGCCTCCCACGTAGCTGGGACTACAGACACGCACCACCATGCCTGGCTAATGTTTTCTATTTTTAGTAGAGACGAGTTTCATCGTGTTGGCCAAGCTTGTCTCAAACTCCCAACCTCAGGTGATCTGCTGGCCTCATCCTCCCAAAGTGCTGGAATTATAGGCGTGAGCCGCTGCGCACCCAGTGTAAAATTAAACTTTATGAGCAGATTCAAAAAGGTTTTGCTATACAAGTGTTACATATTGTAAAAAAGGAATCATAGATTAAAAACTCAATAGTTTGGTTTATAAAACCTTTTGTACCTTTTTTAATGAATATTTTTATTTATTTACAAAACTGGACCCCTACTGTGAATACTATTCAGTAACTTTTTTTGTTGTTTATTTGATTTTTGGAGTTTTTTTCTAAAGAGACAGGGGTCTCACTATATTGCCCAGGGTGGTCTCAAACACCTGGGCTGAAGCGATCCTCCCACCTCAGCCTCCCAAAGTGCTCAGATTACAGGTGTGAGCCACCATGCCTGACCCTGTAACCTTTTTGAAGAGTCAGTGTAGCATAGTTTTTTTTTGGAAAAATTTTTTTCTTTTTTGAGACAGGGTCTCGCTCTGTTGCCCAGGCTGGAATGCAGTGGTGGGATCATGGCTCACTCTACCTCGACCTCACAGACTCAGGCAATTCTCCCACCTCAGCCTTCTGTGTAGCTGAGACCACAGGCATGCACCACCACACCCAGCTAATTTTTTTATTTGTAGAAACAAGGTCTCTGTTGCCCACCCAGGCTGGCCTTGAACTCCTGGGTTCAAGTGATCCTCTTGCCTTGACCTCCCAAAGTGTTGGGATTACAGGTGTGAGCCACCGTTGCCAACCTGTAGCATAGTTTTAAGAGTTCAAATTCTGAGTTCTTGGCCAGGCGCAGTGGCTCATGCCTATAATCCCAGCACTTTGGGAGACTGAGGCAGACAGATCACCTGAGGTCAGGAGTTCAAAACCAGCCCGGCCAACATGGCGAAACTCTGTCTCTACTAAAAATATAAAAATTAACCAGGGGTGGTGGCGGGCGCCTGTAATCCCAGCTACTTGGTACGCTGAGGCAGAAGAATGGCTTGAACCTGGGAGGAGAGGTTGCAGTGAGCCGAAATGGCACAACTGCACTCCAGTCTGAGTGACAAAGTGAGACTCCATCTCAAAAAAAAAAAAAAAAAATCTGACTTCTTGTCTGTATTCTGCACTTAATAGCCTTATTTTCCTCATATGTAAATTGGAGATATAAATACCTGCCTTTTAGGCTTTGACAAATATGAGAACAAACAAATGCACAATGTCTAGCATGTAAGCATGCAGTAAATATGTCTCCTTGATGAATTGGCCCCTTTATCCACAACAAAATGTTCATCCTTCTTTATCCCTAGTAATTTAGCCACTACCACATACAGGTATTTATTTATTTATTTATATTTAGTGGGTACAGGTGCAGGTTTCTTACATGCATATAACAAGTAGTGGTGAAGTCTGGGATTGTAGTGTATCCATCAGCCACTTTCTTTTGATAAATGTCTGAATATCTCATTTTCTCTCCTTTCACTTTTTACCTGTGTATATTTAAAATAGATATCATGTAAACAGCATATAGTTGAGTCTTGCTTCTTTTATCCAACAGGACAATCTAACCTTTCAATTAGTAGTTAGACCACTTATATTTAATGTAATTATTGAAATATACGTCACAGTGCATTTGAAGGAGAGAAATCACACAGCAATTTGAATACAGGAAATTTAATATAAACATTATTAACAAGGCACAGAGAATTAACTACTGAGGACAAAATGCTAAGGTAAAGAGATCTCTAGAAAATACATGGAGTCGTCAGTACTTCTAAGGCTGAGTCAGAATAGCCACAGAAGGAACTAATTTGGAATAGGTGCCCCCAACCCTTTACCAAGCTAAGATTCAGATGATGTTGAAGGAGGTATGGCTGTAGCCCACTGGATGGTGGAAAAGTTTGCTCAGGTGCGGTAGGCTGAGGCTGGCAAGCAGGACACTGCCTACTAGGATGCCAACAAAATTATTTGGAGGCCTTTTGGCCCAGAAGGCCAAAGATATTAACTATCTAGACCTTTACAGAAAAAGTGTACCAACTACTAGACTACATAAGTAGACTGGAATGGAAAGTTTTTAAAGCAAATCTTTATCAGAAAATACGTATCAGAGTTTAGTGTGTGTATATTACTGAAGATGCTTGGATTGTTCAGCCCAGTACGGATGCAGGGTATAAGAAAACACTAAGATGGGCCAGGCGCAGCGGCTCACGCCTGTAATCCCAGCACTTTGGGAAACCAAGGCAAGCAGATCACTTTAGGCGAGGAGTTTGAGACTAGCCTGACCAACACAGTGAAACCCCGCCTCTACCAAAAAATACAAAAATTAGCCAGCCATGGTGGTGCGCGCCTGTATTCCTAGCTTCTTGGGAGGCTAAGGCAGGAGAATTACCTGAACTCAGAAGGCAGAGGTTGTAGTGAGCCAAGATTGCGCCACTGCGCTCCAGCCTGGGAAACAGAGTGAGACCCTGTCTCAAAAACTAAATAAATAAAAATTTAAAAGAGAAAGCATTAAGATGTTGAATTTTGTGTGTTGGCCCTAGTATATTCTTCCTGAGGTTGTCTGGTGTGCCCTCCCACATCAACAGACCACCTTATGAGAAGTTTTAGCTTTTAGGCCCAACTTCCACCTCATACCTTTGTCAACTGCATGTTTTACTTTTACATTTACAAGACTGTTAAAACCCACACTGTTCTACAACCAGATCTTGAGTGTTTTGTCCACAGCTTGTCTCTAAAAAATTGAAACAACATTTACATACTTATAACTATGTAAATATTGTTTCTGAAGAGTTAAGTAGTGTGCTAGGATTATAAATCATACTTGGTGGGTCTGATGGGTCCAATGTCACAACCCCTTGTCTGTTCAAAGGGAGAAATTTTTCTAACCTCACAGTCATATGGAATCTTTTCTTATATTCCATCAAGTGCTTAAAGTCAGGCCCTGCTTTTGTTTGTATCTTATTTGGACTGTGCCTTTTTTTGTATTGCTTTTTTATTGTCCTAGAGTGTATAATGGCCTTTCCCCCACTCTTGACAAAGTAACAATATTCCTTCATCATGGCTTCAGATTTTTCTGAAAAAACACAGAAAAGTCTTTTGAAACACACTTTCATGGAATCCTTCTCTAAAACCTAGACCTCTTCCATCCTCCTGTTCCAATCTGGATTTGTCTGCTCTTATGCTGGGACTTCCTTTCACCCCATCTCTAGGATTGAATCCACTATTTTGTGTAGCCTGCATTTCTTTCTCACTCATTTTAGGAACTATTTAATACATCTCAAGTATTTTTCCAAGAAAGGGTGCAAAAGGGGGTAATTTGTGCATATCTAAATATAAATTTAGTCTCTTTTACTTTATTCATCCTCTGTCTGGGTATGGAAATCTAAAATAACTTTCTTCATATCTTTGATGATACTGCTTCATTGTCTTCAGGCCTACAGTCTTGATGAAAAATTTGATCCTGGTGTAATTCTCTTTTCAGGTGACCATTTTTGCTCTCTGGAACTTGTGGAACTTTTTCTTTGGTATTTTGGGATTTAACTAGAATGTGCTTAAGTATGGGTCTTTTAATGGCCTTGGTACTTGTTCCTTATAATATGAAGACTCATATACCACCTTAGTTTTGGGAAATTTTTTTCCATTAATTTCTTCCGTAATTTCCTTTCTCTTGTTGTCTTTATTTTCTCTTTCTGGGATGCCTCTTAACTGGATTCTGGATTTCTTGGATTATGCATCTGTCTCTTCTTTTTTCCTTTCTTCGTCTTTTTGCTTTATGTTCTGGGAAGTCTCCTTTAACTTTTTCATTACTATCATTAGCTTGTTTGGCCCTAACTATGAGGTATTTCTTTCGGACCAGGAGTGAAAATTACTAAAACATGAAATGTGCTGTGATCCAGGAAAGCTTGAGAACCTCTGCTCTACAAAGCATGCCCCACCTATAACCAAGTTAGTAGTCTTCTTACTCAAAGAAGAGGTACATTGGAAATAGATCTATTTACTCAAAACACCATACACCAGTTACTCATTCTTCAATGTAAGTGGACAAGCAAGGAAGGATCACCCAACATGAGGAAGAAAAACAAACAAACCATTCTTTCTTTTAATAAAAAAAATAATTTTTTTTAAATTTCAGTAATCATGTCTTTAGTCTCTAAAAGCTCTTTCTTGTTCTGAGTCATCCTTTATCATAGCATCCTACGGGGTGAATATAATAATCTCAGATCTCTAGGTATAGTGAGAGGGTTTTTTATTCCTCTCTTTTCCCTGAATTATATGTTTCCAGGGATGTAGGGAGCTTCTCTCTCTCTCTCTCTCTGTCTCTCTGTCTCTCATATGTTCTTATTCTTCCTCATGTTGGGTGATCCTTCCTTGCTTGTCCACTTACATTGAAGAATGAGTAACTGGTGTATGGTGTTTTGAGTAAATAGATCTATTTCCAATGTACCTCTTCTTTGAGTAAGAAGACTACTAACTTGGTTATAGGTGGGGCACGCTTTGTAGAGCAGAGGTTCCCAAGCTTTCATGGATCACAGCACATTTCATGTTTTAGTAATTTTCACCCCTAGTCCAAAAGAAATACTTCATAGTTAGGGTCAAACAACCTAATGATAGCAGATTGCATGGTATCTGAAAGATGTTACTGTGTTTCCTTCAAATTTAAAATATTCCACATGCCTCTCTGAGTTGGCTGTGGTGCTCTAAGTTCAGATGGTATCCTGAACTGGTGAATTTCACACACAGTTTGGGAACCATGACTCAGGGTGAATGGATTGGGAGTGAACAGGCCACAGATTCTTTAAATTTCAGAATGAGAATTGCTTTGTCTGGGCACCAGCAGCTACACTACAGCCTTAGATCTTCCATTAGCTTTGTGCTGTTTCTAGAAAAGCCTTGGAATATTTTTGCCTCAGTATCTGTACTCTCCTTATGTATAATCTGTGTTCATAGAGTGGAGAAGGCACTAATTTCCCCATTTTCTGCCCCTCTTCTTTCTTCTGCCTTTGTTTCCCTGAGGCCTCATCCTACTTTTCTCCCAAGGGTTCTAATGGGAAGATAAGCTTAGCCTCCATCCTAGCCCTCCATAATGTATTATTTGGCTATGGCTTTCACTGTTCTTTTTCATTTGAATTTATTTTCTAACTTTCAGATCTGTGTAAATCTCTCATCAAGTATCGAGTCTACCCTTTACCTTTTCCTGGTGTGGACTTACTCCTTTTTGTACTCTTAATCTTTAATGTAATTTGGGGAGGGATGGGAAGCCAACATGTGTACATTCTGCTATCAGGAACTGGAAACTACATTGTCTCTTGATTTCTTATCATAATCAATGAAGTGGGTACTATTAATGTCCTCTTTTTACAGCTGTGATAACTGAACAGGGGGGCAGCTGGGACTCTAACCCAAGTCTGTTACCACTAAGGCATGTGCTGTTTTTATTGTTGGCTAGGAAGAGGTGTTAAGTACACAGGTGTTAAATTCACCGGTTCAGGATGTCATCTGAAACAATTACTTCATTTTTAAAAAGAGATTGAGGGCCGGGCGCGGTGGCTCAAGCCTGTAATCCCAGCACTTTGGGAGGCTGAGGCGGGTGGATCACGAGGTCAGGAGATCGAGTCCATCCTGGCTAACACAGTGAAACCCTGTCTCTACTAAAAAATACAAAAAAAATTAGCCGGGCGAGGTGGCGGTCGCCTGTAGTCCCAGCTACTCGGGAGGCTGAGGCAGGAGAATGGCGTGAACCCCGGAGGCGGAGCTTGCAGTGAGCTGAGATCTGGCCACTGCACTCCAGCCTGGGCGGCAGAGCAAGACTCCGTCTAAAAAAAAAAAAAAAAAAAAAAAAAAAGAGATTGAAAGTTTTATGTGCTAGGAAAGTTGTCAGAATTGGTCAGGAATTTGAGATATTGATCAGCCTCTGCCTAGAGCCTTTTCTTGGTTACTGGACCATTTTGAGCAATTATTTTCAAACTTTATTTTTTTAGTCAAGTTCTTCCTTTAAATTAAATCTGTGCAGAAATCCCGTATGTTTACAGATATAATAGGTGATGCTGTTCTGGTTGAAGTTAGATGGGATACTCACAGTTCACTCCTCAGCTATCCTTGGTGGCCCCTAAGACTTCTCCTTTGAGCAGTTTTAAAAAACCTTTCATCTGAAATAAATAAATAAATAAATTTAAAAAACAAATAAGAAAAGAAAACCCTTGATCTAAGGTTGCAAACCATTTGTCCAGCGGGAAGAAAACATTTTAAGTAGTTTAAGAATAGGTTGGTACCGGCCGGGCGCGGTGGCTCAAGCCTGTAATCCCAGCACTTTGGGAGGCTGAGGCGGGTGGATCACGAGGTCAGGAGATCGAGATTATCCTGGCTAACATGGTGAAACCCCGTCTCTACTAAAAATACAAAAAACTAGCCGGGCGAGGTGGCGGTCGCCTGTAGTCCCAGCTACTCGGGAGGCTGAGGCAGGAGAATGGCGTGAACCCCGGAGGCGGAGCTTGCAGTGAGCTGAGATCTGGCCACTGCACTCCAGCCTGGGCGGCAGAGCAAGACTCCGTCTGAAATAAATAAAAAAAAAAAAAAAAATGTGTTTTTGAAACAAATTTATTTTGGCTTGAAGTATGTTGCCCAGACACTATATCAGAATATTGCTTTTAACTTCAGGATATGATTCATATTGTTTCTTTTTAATATCTGGAAGCAGTTTTGTGAACTTAAGGTTGAGAATACCTCTGTTAAAACTTTACCTCTCATGGAAGCTGTATTGATTATAGTTCAAGCCACATGCTAAAATATAAGCCCCCTGAAGACAGAAACAATATTGATTTTGTTTATTGCTATATTCACAGTGCCTTCTACATACTAAGTACTCAGTAACATTTTTAAATAAATTAGTTAATATTTGATCAATTTCAAAGTAATTCTAATTATGAGGAGTGCTATCTGGCATATAACTAAAGATTTCTGTACTGAAAATATTACTACCTGCCACCCCACTTTAAAAATTCAGAACTTTCATAGCCGGCGTGGTGATGGGCACCTGTAATCCCAGCTACTCAGGAGGCTGAGACAGGAGAATTGCTTCAGCCTGGGAGATGGAGGTTGCAGTGAGCTGAGATCGTGCCACTGCACTCCAGCCTGGGTAACAGAGCAAGACTCTGTCTAAAAAAAAAAAAAAAAAAAAAAAAATCAGAGTTTTCAAAATAGAATACAATGTTGCTCTAAGGGCCCAAATATTTTATTCCAGATATTGGTCTAGGCACTAGGAATAAAACAACAGTTTTTATTGTTTGGAACTTATATTTTTCCTCTTTACCATTTGAGAATAATTACTGGTAAGACAGTATAGTATAAACTTTTTCAGTAAAAGTATTTGGAAAGGAATTGCCTTCTCTAACATTTTAATCATGTTTTAAAATGTGTTTTTGAAACAAATTTATTTTGGCTTGAAGTATGTTGCCCAGACACTATATCAGAATATTGCTTTTAACTTCAGGATATGATTCATATTGTTTCTTTTTAATATCTGGAAGCAGTTTTGTGAACTTAAGGTTGAGAATACCTCTGTTAAAACTTTACCTCTCATGGAAGCTGTATTGATTATAGTTCAAGCCACATGCTAAAATATAAGCCCCCTGAAGACAGAAACAATATTGATTTTGTTTATTGCTATATTCACAGTGCCTTCTACATACTAAGTACTCAGTAACATTTTTAAATAAATTAGTTAATATTTGATCAATTTCAAAGTAATTCTAATTATGAGGAGTGCTATCTGGCAGATAACTAAAGACTTCATTCTATACCTTTCCAAGAATTCAGGTCCATTCTGGAAGTTTCTCATTAGATTAAACTAAATTTTGGATTTTCCCTGATTTCTTTGGGAATCATTCTGTTTGTGCTGACTTGGGACTGGTTTGGTCCTTTATAGCCACTCAGGTGTACAGTAAGGATTCAACAGTTTGAATAAAAAGCTAACCAGGTTCAAATAGAAATACAGGAATTCAATTTAGATAGTAATATAGGAATTTTAGTTTTTTGTCAAAAATAGTACTAAACTGAAAGTATATTTTGATACACCTAGTAGTGTCCGTATCTTAATTTCTTTTCTCCTGTAGACGTATTTGGCAGTTCTTTTTCTGTTGAAGTAATAGAATGGATGAGATTAGTTAATGGATAGAATAGTTGCTTAGAATTAGAAATGGGAAAATAATTTGGAAGACACAGAAAGTACTTGATAATCGTCGACCTTTTTTTTTTTTTTTTAAGTCTGGCTACTTTTCTAGTATGTTCAGTGGTTCTTGGAAAGAATCCAGCATGAATATTATTGAACTGGAGATTCCTGACCAGAACATTGATGTAGAAGGTAACTACCATAATAATTAACTATTATGCAACAATCATAAAAACATAATCTTATTCTTTTGGTAGAAACTAAATAATTCCTTCTAGACTTGTAGTCTAGCAAACTCCTTTTATCACCTCAAGGTGATAATTTTATGTTGATTTACGCCATAGTTTATCAGTTCTGTCCATCCTGTCACTAATCTGTTTTGTCATGTGGGCCTTATCAGTCTGTTTACTTATCTTTGTAAATATGCCCACCTGGGATATGGAAGACGTAGGATGAAGGAAGGAAAAGTATGACCATTTTTTTAATTATGTAGAAAATCTGATAAATAATACTTATTGATTATTCCCTATTTTCTGGGAACAATAAAGGCATAAATCATGTAATATTGTTTTAGAGCTAAAAGAATCCTTAGTTGAGGCAGCTGAGGCCCAAAGGAGTTAAGGGACTTACTTTGGATCTCAGAGCAGTTTAGTGAGCCTATGTCAGACGACAGCTCTCCTCATTCCCATTCCAGTGCTCTTGCTGCTCCCCTCATTGGTGGTCCACATGGAAGTACCTGGTGCTCAATACAAAGGCAAAGAAATAGTTAAGAATATTTACAAAGCAAACCATGTGGGACATTCGTAACAGTGGCGGTGGAGGAAGGATGGACAGGCATAGATCATTGTGGGGGCTGGGCATAAGTGTGGCGTGGACAGGACTCAGGAACTGTACCACATTTCTCAGTGGTGAAGTGCTGAAAGCAGCAGGGTTAAGATTATCTTTGAGTCTGCGTATTTGTACTTAACGATTGGTTTACTCAGGAGTATCTTATAAAACTTCTTCCAAGACATCTTGGTTGTGACCACTGATGTCAAGATTACATGTTAGAATAATGCAGCTAGATTTGGTAGAATAAACAGAAATTTATAACCTTGTTATTAAATTAACAGTGTCAACCAGTAACGATTACTAGCGTTTTTAATTAAAGAGATACTTCTGTTATCCTTTTGTGTACATGCCACATTTAGACAAATGTCTTTGTGTGTGAAGACAGTCGTCGTTGTTATTTGTATAATACTTGTAATAGATATAAATATTATTTCATCCTACATGTGTACCTTGCTTTCAGCACTGCAGGTTGCATTTGGTTCACTGTATCGAGATGATGTCTTGATAAAGCCCAGTCGAGTTGTTGCCATTTTGGCAGCAGCTTGTTTGCTGCAGTTGGTAAGTATGCACATGATTCAAAGAAAGGTTCAGAATAATAATCTTTGTCTCAAAGTGTGTACTCCAAAAACAAAAATAAAGCTTAGCTTTTTAGAGTTTTTAAATAAAAATGAAACGTATAAATATGCCATTTGTTAGAAATCATTTAAAATGCCTAACCAAAAGCAATTTATTATAACTGAGGGAGTCTTAATGTCTGCATAAAATGAATGCAGGCCATTTCTGTGTAGATATCTTAGTATGACTATAATGTGGAAAAAACTTACTTGTCTAAGGTCATTTACAGATTTCTATTCATTAATGACTTGACTCTTAAGCAGATGGCTTATGATTACTAATTAATATCATTCATGGGTTCAAATAAACATGCATTCCTACTATTTAAATTTCTCTTAGTTTTGAAAGAATTGTGTATAAATCACATATATGTATTTTAATCTACCGGCAGAATGACAGATTTGTTCATTTAACCGAAGTGTATTGAGCACTGTCAAACTAGACACAGAAATCCAAAGGTAACTTAAGATGTAATCCTTACTTTCAAAAAGTTCACAATATAGTATGTATGTGTGGAGAGCGGTGGGAGGGTTGATATACAAACCCAGAGGTAAAGTAAGAGCTGTTCAATATTATAGATATGATAATAAACATCCTGTAGCATTTAGTGAATGCATAAAGAAGGAAGTGGTCAGTTCACCCTGGTGGTATCACAGAGGAAAGTTACATTTCCACATTGAGTCTTGAAAGTTGAAAGTGTGTTTGTATTGCAAAGTAGGAAGAGGGGAAGGAAGAGCATTTCAGACAGAACAGAGTAAACTAAGACCTAGCGATGTGAAATCGTGGAGGATTCAAGACTCTAACAGAAACATGGCTCCTGCATAAACATAAGAAGGATTGGAGAAGAGAGGGGCAGAAGCCAGATCATGAAAATACCGTTACACATTGCTGAGTTTAGCGTACACAGCACCTTTGGAATATTTTAATCAGGGGAAAGACGAAGTTATGTTTTAGAAAGAACACTTCAGTAACAATGTGAAAGATGAATTGAAGGAATGACGAATACAGCATTAGAGACAAAAACCTATTGCAGTCGTCCAAGGGAGGAAAGTAGGGTAGTAGCAATAAGCTTGGAGAGGAAAAAGTGGATAGCAGAGAGATTCAGGGATAATCCACTGGACTTGGTGACAGACTAAGTGTTAAGAGGAAAGGGGAGGAGTCTAGAATGATTTCCAGGTAAGTTGAAAATCCTAATGGAGTCAATGTTTTATTTTAATCTTAAAAAATTGTTTACTTTTGTGTGGTATTTTTGTACTGATTCATTTGAAATATTAGTTAATAGCTTGCTAAATATCCTTGGTTGAGATCATTTGATTTTCAAAATGTTTTGATCCTTTCAATACTTATTTCCAATAAGTATACTTTATTTTCTAACTCTGGTCCTTTTGATTTTGTTCTAAATTCACTTTCTGCGTTACTTTTATGATTTACTAACTCTTTAACTTAATATAGCTGCATGATGAATATATTTCAGAAATTTGAACGAAAAGTAGTATTCTTTCCATATATTAAAGTTAGTTCACTTAAAACCTATATAAACATTTTAGGTTAAAACTTCAATGTTCATAATTTAAAATAACAATATACTTGTTTTAGGTGTGTCTTTAGATATTGTAGTTATTTTAAACTTAATAATTACTTTCTGCTAATGCATACTATTTGTTTAGGCCCATGACATGGTTAACTGACTATGTAGTCTTCTTAATTTAAAAAGAAATGGCAAAACAGACAAAATGCTGCTAAAGAAATTTGCAAAGGTCTCAGAGAGGGAAGAATAGAAAAGAAAAAGAATAGCAGTATTCATCTCTACCTGACTGCTCCCCCCACCTTCCATTTTCAAATTCCAAGTATTTAGTTGAATACTTGCTGAATTTTTTTCAGTATTTTTATTGGACTTGTTTAAAAAAAACCACAAAACTTAGGTTTGCTGCACTTAATGAGTTTTCTTTCTTTTCTTTCTTCCTTCTTTTTTTTTTCCTTTTTAATATGTAAAAGCACATATCAGAGCTAATTTTTCCCACGTGAAATGGGCCTTTCCAGTGCTTATTTATATTTACAGGACGGTTTAATACAGCAGTGTGGTGAGACAATGAAGGAAACAATTAATGTGAAAACTGTATGTGGCTATTACACATCAGCAGGGACCTATGGATTAGATTCTGTAAAGAAAAAGTGAGTTACCTTTCTCATTTTTCTTCCTATCCCACTTTAGGAATTTGGTTGCTTTAGTTTCTTAAGAGAATGTATAGCTATAAGAAAGAAAGAATTAAGGAAAATTAGGATAGGGGAATGGAATTTTGTTAAATAAAAAGCCCATTTTAACTTTTGGACTAATTAGTAAATTCCTCAAAAGTGTTGTCTTTGTCAGTGACCATATGGGTTATATATATGCTTATAAAAACCTTGGTCACTCTTGGTCAAGTGTGGTAGCTAACACCTGTAATCCCAGTGATTTGGGAGGCCAAGGCAGAAGGATCACTTAAGCCCAGGAGATCATGACCAGCCTGAGCAACATAGGGAGACCCCATCTCTACAAAAAATTTAAAAAATTAGCCAGGCATGGTGGCGTGCACCTGTGGTCCCAGCCATTCTGGAGGCTGAGGTCAGAGGATTCTTTGAGCCCAGGAGGTTCAAGACTGCAGTGAGCTGTGATCATGCCACTGCACTTTATAGTACATTTTCTATTAAAATTGTTTAAGAAGTAGGCCTGATAGACATTATATCATTGCAATGACTGACAGTCCTTCTAACTCTTGAAAGTTGCAGTACCTGTTTTGAGATTTTAAAGGTTATAGTAGTATGCAGACCCCTTGATAAACTATTTAACACAAACTCAAAATGGAGTTTTAAAACTAGAAATGCTCTCATTAATATAAAGGAAATATTCTCTTAATAATATCCACTGACAAAAATAATACTAAATTTCCTATTGTTAAGTTAAAAGTTTTGAGCATGTTCTGGCAAGATTAATATTCTGATTTTAACTATAAGTCCTACTTAATAAATTGTAAATACATGGTATGTAATGTAATAATTATATGTTTTAATTTCAGGTGCCTTGAATGGCTTCTAAACAATTTGATGACTCACCAGAATGCTGAACTTTTTAAAGAACTCAGGTATTTGAATTTCAAGTAACTTTATAATTAGTCATCCTAAAATATTGTTTATCATTTGTTAAAGTACATAACATTTTTGTAGAACACAAAAATATGAAAAAGCAAACAATTTAATGAAAGGGCTTGACTACATCCATAAGCTGAAGAAATGCTACACAAACTTATTTCTTTTTTGTGAATAATATAATGGATATTATGTCTACCGTTTTAACCAATTTTAATAGAAAAATGCATTACTGTTATAAGACTATAGAAAAGTTTCAGGTTTTGCCAGACTTTTAGAGAATTTAAAAGGTATATTTTTAAAATCATCTTTATTATTGAGAAATAAGTTTGAAGAAACTGTTTTGGCCTTTTTTTTTTTTTTTTAACCTTCAAAAACTTTTCATGTTGATCGGTTTTCTCACTAGAATGAATTCTCTGATGTGGCGTAACAAATGTGTGGCTCCTATAAATGTACATTTTTCTGTCTCTGATTATTTCACTCCTTGAATTCAAATCTGTAATCCCAGCTACTCTGGAGGCTGAGGCAGGAGGATTGCTTGAGCCATAGAGGTCAAGGTTACAGTGAGCTGTGATTGCGACACTGCACTCCAGCCTCAGTGTGAGTGAGACCCCAGTGAGACCAAGTTACCATAGTTCTTCACTGTCACCTCCTGGTACAAGGTCTTCTGAACCAGGTCAAGGTATTCCCACTCCTGATGAGAGAAGTCTATGGCCATGTCCCTGAATGTTACGAATTCGCAGGCCATGGTTTTAGACAAGCAAAAGCCAATCAGTCCTCAGGGTTTCTCTACCAGAAAAGCAGATTTAGGAAAACCTAGACCTGTAATCCCAGCACTTTGGGAGGCCAAGTTGGGAGGATTGCTTGAATCTAGGAGTTCGAGATCATCCTGGGCAACATAGTGACGTCCCCTCTCTTTGAGAAAATATCAGTCTTCCTTTAAAAAAAACTGTTAGCACCACACAGGGTCCCATGCAGGCTTCAGGCTGGGGCTGCAGAGGCTCCCGCAGTCAACTGCGCTGCCTTCATCTTCAAGCGGGACCCGCTGTGCACACAGCACAGCGCAAAGCCAGAGGTCCTAGAGATGGAGCCAGAGGGCCAAGATTTCTCTGTCACCTGTGGACCATGTAGTCCAAGCTGGAAAAATAGGACCGCAGTCACCCGTGAGAAATGGATTCCAGGGTTCTAAAAACCTACAAGATATATGGCGGTGACAATGAGGACTGCCCACCACCCAAGCTATATAGCAGTCTTTCTTTTTTAAAGAGATGGGGGCCTTGCTATATTGCCCAGGCTAGACTCAAACTCCTGGGCTCAAGCAGTCCTCCCACCTCAGCCTCCAAGTAGCAGGGATTATAGGCACATACCACTGCACCCAGCTTAGTTTGGCTTTTTGGATTAAGTACGCATATTATCCATTTATTCCTGCAGCAAGTACTTCCTAACTGTTCATTATGTAAAGATATTCTGTTTGTGGCTGTGAAGGATGCAGAGATGATTTTGTCATGGTCTCTTGCTGTCAGGGAACTTATTTATAGTAATGGGACTAAGGTATTTGTGATGGGTCTGAGAAAATCTGGCTAGCAGTGAAGTTTTGAAGGCTGGTTGGCATTACAGTCATTTTCTGGCTTGCATTTACTTGACAGCGGTGCTTTGGAGACAGGGATACAAATGTGCCCAGGAGTAAGTGACTTTCTGATGGAAATGTACAAAACTAAAGTCAAACATTGCATAGCTTCCCGGGATGTGAATTTTACTGATTGTACTGATTTGTTGTTGTTGTTGTTGTTGTTGTTGTTGTTGAGGTGGGGGAGAGGTAAACATTTTTATGTTTAAATACATTATAGAATAGAGGGAATTCAAATTTCCTTGAACTCTCAAGATACCATTTATAGAAATGTTGTTTTTATGGTTAGACCACCACCTAGATCATTGGGTTTTTTCTTTTCTTTTGCCTTTACGAGGTAATTTGGTAGAGAAGTGTGAGAGACATTCATCACCTGGTGATATCGAGGCATAAATAAATCACTGTAGAATGTTTGATTTGAAAATCATTAGAAACACTTTAATACAGTCAACCCTCCATATCCATGGGTTCTCCATTTGTGGATTCAACCAACTGCTGATTGAAAAGATTTGGGGGAAAATCTTTAAAAAATGATAACAAAAAACCCAATATTGTATGACAACTATTGTATAACATTTACATTGTAGTAAGTACTATAAGAACACCTAGAAATAATTTAAAGTATATGAGAGGATGTGCATAGGTTACATGCAAATACTGTGCCATTTTATATAAGGGCCTTGAGCATAGAGGATTTTGGTATTTGTAGGGGGTTCTGAAACCAACCCCCCACAGATACAAGGAGACAATTCTAATTTCTCATTGAGCTTTTTGAAAAAGGAGCAGGATCCTCTTAAAAACCCACATGCTCTCTTGGCTTTTTGTGGCTCAAAGAAAGAAAGAACAAAGGAAAAGCAAAACAAAACAAAATAACTGATGATGTCATTTTCACTCTAAATAGCACGTGTTTCTTGATCTTATGCTCTTGAATAGTACTAAAACCATAGTTTATGACTAAGCAATTCTCTTAAGCCTAGAGGTTAAAGATCACTTTGACAATATAGCTGTTCTAGTGTCTTTTTTTTTTTTTTTTGGAGACAGTATCTTGCTCTGTTGCCCAGGCTGGAGTGCAGTGGTACAGTCTCCGCTCACTGCAACCTCCACCTCTTGGGCTCAAGTGATCCTTCTACCCCTTCAGCCTCACAAGTAGCTGGGACTACAGGTGCACACCACCATGATTGGCTAATTTTTTTTTTTTTTTTGGTACACAAGGTCTCACCATGTTGTCCAGGCTGGTCTCAAACATCTGGCTTCAAATGATTCTCCTGCCTCCCAAAGTGCTGGGTTTACAGATGTGAGCCACTATGCCTGACATTTTTTTAAAGAACAAAACAAAACATAGAAGTGGGGTGGTGGAAGGCAAAAGAGGATGGCTGTCATTTTATCAGCGCATACTGAAAATTATCTTATTGGAACCTTGCTTTAACTTGATTAATCAGCAGATCAGAGCTCTTTGTTTCCCTATCAGTGTGAAAAGGACCTTTCATAGCACACTATCTGAATTAAAAGTATCCTTGTATCCAGATAGATTGTTTTCTAAGATTCTTTGTCTTGAGCAGAAGGACTGCTGTCATTTTTAATTCCACGTATTTTTTAAAAGAAAGACAAAGCTTTTAGTTCCACCAGGATCCTTTAGCCTGTGCCTAAAGATAAGCTCACTCCCTCTATTTATCCTTTTCAGTATAAATGTCATGAAACAGCTCATTGGTTCATCTAACTTATTTGTGATGCAAGTGGAGATGGATATATACACCGCTCTAAAAAAGGTACTGACATAATATGATGTCATATTATGCAAGGATATCACCTCAGCACTGTGTATAATGGTGAAAAACTGGAAACAGTGTCCAGCAATAAAGGGATGGTTATAAATGTAGGAAAAGGAAATAGGCCAAAACATTAAAAAGTCTTTATATTTAGGGATTTGGTATCATTAGTGATTTTAACTTTATTTTTTGTACTTTTCTATTTTAGGAATACTTTTCTGTTTTTTCCCAGACTTCTCTTTAACAAAAAATATATTGTTGTTATTTATTTACATAATAGAAATGTTTTATATCTTTTTTAGGAACGTTTTCAAAGTTGAGCTTCAGTTAATGATGGTATTTTTAGACACACTTTTTCTAAGCAATGTTGAAATTTTTCTTTCAAAGGCTTGTTTGCATGTCTGGCATATGTTTTACTTCATCCTTTTGAAAAGTTTCAACATTTTAAAAATCTAATTTTATTTTCACAACTCTTTGAAGATACAGATCAGCCACTATTCTTTCATGTAGATAGTGAGACTCAGAGCAGGCTTGAGGCAGAGACTGGATCTTGGGAGTCCCAGTCCATTGCCCTCTTCGTACTGCATAATCCTGCCTTTACCCTTTTGTCCCCAAAACTGTTGTGAGTATTTAACACAGTTGTGAAACTTCAGACTGAGACACTTTCTAGCTTATCTCATAGGGACTCTTTGTTTGTTTGTTTCTATGGTAGAGATGAAATTTTGTTACTATTTTCTTCAAGGAACTTTACTATCTGGGCTATCCAGTCTTTTAAAAAATTGGTGCAGAGGTCAGGCACAGTGACTCACGCCTGTAATCCCAGCAATTTGGGAGGCCCAGGCTGGCGGATCGCTTACGGCGCTGAGTTCAAGATCAGCTTGGGTAACATGGCAAAAACCCCTGTCTACAAAAAATACGAAAGCTTAGCTGGGTGTGGTGTTTGTGCCTGTAGTCCCAGCTACTCAGGAGGCTGAGGTGGGAGGATCACCTGAACCTAGGAGGTGCAGCCTGCAGTGAGTTGTCACAGTGGCATTCATTTCTGTTGTTATAACTGCTTTTTGCCAGTAATGATAAGTGCTAATACTTACAGGGTGTTTACATGCCATGCACCATTCTAAGTATTTATATATATTAAATATTTTAGTGTCCTATGAGGTAAACATATTATCATGCTCATTTTACAAATGAAGAAATTAAGGCCCAGAGATATTAGGTAATGTGCCCAGCTCTTAAGTGCCAGGTCCAGAATTTAAAAGTTTTTGCTCTTACCTGCTGTGCATATTATCTCAGCAGCAATAAGACAAAGAAGCTCCTTTTTCCCGTGTTAATTTCTTGCTTTTATAATCTCATATAGTATTTAGTGAAATTGAGTTGTTAGTCAGTAGAATAAGTTAGTATAAAATTACTAATGTAATATACATATTAGACCCTTACCTTTTTAATACAGTAATCTCCAGTGAGTTACCATAAAGACTTCTCAAGGATTGGCTTACCCTTAGCACCCACATCCAATTTTTATCACTGGACTGTGATTTTTTTTTTCTTTTTTCCTCGAGACAAGGTCTCGCTCTGTCACTTAGACTAGAACACAGTGGTGCAATCATGACTCACTGCAACCTTGACCTCCAGGGCTCAAAAGGTCCTCCCACCTCAGCCTCTTGAGTAGATGGGACTCCAGATGCATGCCACCATGCCCTTTTTTTTTTTTTTTTTTTTTCATAGAGGTGGGGTTTCACCATGTTTCCCAGGCTGGTCTAAACCTCTCTCAAGTGATCTGCCCGCCTTGACCTCCCAAGTGCTGGGATTATAGGTGTGAGCCACAGCACCCAGCCATTGGACTATGATAATGCCATGATAAATTGAGTGCTTATAAGCATGTCATCTAATAGTTGTACTTTCTTTTTTGCAATTGCTGGTAAAGTAGAAGTTAAATTTTTTAGCTATTATATTTTAAGGTGAAAGCAATCTGAAAATGTAAAATCATAAAATGATGAAATTTCATAATTGTTTTCTTATTTAATTTTTTTAACCCAGTGGATGTTCCTTCAACTTGTGCCTTCTTGGAATGGATCTTTAAAACAGCTTTTGACAGAGACAGATGTCTGGTTTTCTAAACAGAGGAAAGGTAGGCCTGAAGTTTTTGAGAACTTGTCTTTTAAAAGGAAATTTATTAAAATCAGGCCCCGTGAGAACAGAAAATAAATAAATTAATTAATCAAATGAAATCAGGCCCTGACTTGTTTATAGACTTAATTTTAGAGCTTAGAGAAAACCTTAGCAGTTATCTACTTCAGCCTCTCATTTACAGTGAGAAAATCAAGGCTAGATAAGAAAAATGCCTTACCTATCATTATCTGAATTGTTACTCCTTGAACTGTCACCATACTCTTGATCCCCCAAAACGATTGTTTTTCCCATTATATCACCAACAGATCGTGTTGACTGCATTTGTCTTGACCACACTGAGTTTTCTCTAACAAACTATACCCTGTCAGGCAACCATTCTTAACATGGGGGCCATAGATAGGCTTTCATGTGTCACTGACCCCCAAAAGTGGTTACAGAATTTGATATGTGTGTGTGCTGCTGCATACATTTGTGGGAGGAGAGCTTCCATGCCTTCCGTCAGATTCTCAGTAGAGACTGATCTAAAATTGGTTAAGATCAACTGCTATAAGGTCTTATCTGTACAAAGAAGGGCATGCAATGTAAAAAATACATGTGTGTGTATATTAAAATGTATGTATGTTATTTTTTACTTTGCTAAAACATATCTAGAAAAAGTATTTTTTATGGCTGTCAGGTGCAAAGAACTGGATAAATCATAATCCTTAGTTCATGAGTTTCTTAGCTTATAGCCACCTTTTTGGTTTATTTTTAATACGTTGAGCCTTTATGACCTAATCTTGGAGAATTAGAATATCAGTAACTTCAGTCTAACTCATGTGCTTCTTTTCTATTGTGTCCCTCTGACTTTTCCTAACCACTATCTTGAACTTCGTGTTTATTCTTTTGCTTTAAAAATATATATTATTGCACCAAGTATATATATCTTAACATATATTACATAGTGGTGTGCTAATAAGCTGACTCTGAAAAAAACAATCCCTGATTAGTACCATTTTTTAATTCCCATGGTACAAATTTTCCCATCGTGGCTGATTGATTGCAAACTACCAACATGACATCACTTTGTGAAAAAGGAGATGTACACAGTCAGCTCCTATAAGCCAGCGGCAACACGCCACTGGGTAATGTATCATTTTGTTTTAGTTGTTATGGAACTATGTCACATTGTGGCCTTAATTTTAATTTCCTTTATAACTAAAGAGATTGAACGACCCTTAATATGGTTATTAGCCACATGTTTCCTCTTCTGTGAGATATCTGTTTAGGTATGTTTCCTATTGTAATGTCATATTTGTCTTTTCTTACTGATTTGTAGGCTTTCTTTATATATTCCTGATAACTAATACTTTGTCGTAAATATGTTCTGCACTTCCAGTTTGTAGGTTATCTTTTTAATTTATTAAAGATGTCTTTTTGGTTGGCGCCGTGGCTCACGCCTGTAATCCCAGCACTTTGGGAGGTCAAGGCAGGAGGCTCGCTTGAGCCCAGGAGTTCAAGGACAGCCTGAGCAACATAAAGAATTTGCAGGGCAGCCAGGCACGGAGGCTCATGCTTGTACTCCCAGCACTTTGGGAGGCTGAGGTGGGCAGATCACAAGGTCAGGAGTTGGAGACCAGCCTGGCCAACATGGTGAAACCCCATCTCTACTAAAGATACAAAAATTAGCTGGGCTTGGTGGCAGGCGCCTGTAATCCCAGCTGCCAGGGAGCCTGAGGGAGGAGAATCGCTTGAAACCAGAAGGCAGAAGTTGCAGTGAGCCAAGATTGCGCCACTGCACTCCAGCCTGGGCAACGAGCGAAACTCTGTCTCAAAAAAAAAAGAATTAGCAGGGCATGGTGGTGTGCACTTGTCTGTATTCCCAGCTACTGGGGAGGCTGACATGGGGGGAGGATCACCTGAGCCTGGCGGGGTCGGGGCTGCAGTGAGCCATGGCCACACACCACTGCACTCCAGCCTGGACAGCGGAGTGTGAGACCCTGTCTCAAAAAAAAAAGGAAAAAAAAATGCTTTTTGATGAATAGATGTTCTTAATTTTAAAATTTCCTGCTCTTTATAGCTTAGTTAAATTCATTTTATAGAATTATTTTATGTAGTTAGATTTCCTACCTCAGAGCCAGATAAATTATTTTTCTATAAAACTCTTGAAATAAAAATATGTAAAGAACCATATCAGTGAAATATAACTTGATTTCCTTGAAGAACAAAAATACTAAACTTGTATCTTAAATCATGTTACATTATGGCAATTAAAGAGGGACTAGGGAAATTATAGAGGAGAAAGGTAGGGGAAAGCATTTAAATAAACAGAAGAGAGAAAAACTGAAAGAGGGCCGAGCGCGGTGGCTCAAGCCTGTAATCCCAGCACTTTGGGAGGCCGAGACGGGCGGATCACAAGGTCAGGAGATCGAGACCATCCTGGCTAACACGGTGAAACCCCGTCTCTACTAAAAAATACAAAAAACCAGCCGGGCGAGGTGGTAGGCGCCTATAGTCCCAGCTACTCGGGAGGCTGAGGCAGGAGAATGGCGTAAACCCGGGAGGCAGAGCTTGCAGTGAGCTGAGATCCAGCCACTGCACTCCAGCCTGGGTGACAGAGCGAGACTCCATCTCAAAAAAAAAAAAAGACAAAAGAAAACCGGAAAGAGACAAGGATGGAGAAGAAGTTAAAAAGACAGAGGGACTCAGTAGAAACAGCAGATGTTAGGCAAATGTTGATAGAACCTTATGATCATTTGTGCTTCAGATAGATCCACCACAGCGATCAATCAAAAGAGAAATTGCCCTGTAGCCTAAGTGGCAGAAACTAGAGAAGCAAGCTGTGGTCCACTTCTGGTTTCCCACTTGAGGCTCTGCCTCCCAGCCCCTGAGGTGTGAAAGTTTACAGTTCAACATAACTTTTCAGGGAGACATTGATTGCACAAACCAAAATGTATGTATGTCTAATGCTCTTGTTTTTCTGTGAAGATTTTATAGAGTCATTTTCAATAGTTTTTAAATTGTAAATAAGATGCTTACTTAGGAAATAGGATAGAAAAAATCACTTGTGATCCCTCACTCGTTATATTTTGGTGTCTGTCTTTCTTTCTTTCTTTTTTTTTTTTTTTTTTTGAGGCAGAGTCTTGCTCTGTCACCCAGGTTGGAAGTGCAGTGGTACGATCTTGGCTCACTGCAGCCTCCGCCTCCCAGATTCAAGCAATTCTCCTGCCTCAGCCTCTCAAGTAGCTGGGACTACAGGTGCATGCCACCACACCCAGCTAATATTTTGTATTTTTAGTAGAGATGGGTTTTTGCCATGTTGGCCAGGCTGGTCTTGAACTTCTGGCATCGAGTGATCTGCCTGCCTCGGCCTCCCAATGTGCTAGGACTACAGGCGTGAGCCACCACACCCGGCATATATTTTTGTATATTTCTTTTAAGTTATCTTAATTCTTTGACTTTTCAGATCTATATGGATCAGGACTACAAGAAACAATAGAAATTTAGAAAGTTTTCTACACAATTATACTTAAGGATTGCTATTGAATTTGGCTGATGGAATAAGTATGGCCACATGTTGTCCAGCAAGCAACTTTAAAACATTTTTTTTGGTTTTATAAATTCTTACAGAAGTAAATGAGCCAGTCTCTTCTACAGCCTTGACGAAAAGGCTTCATGAAATATAATCACCAGATTTCTATGAGACAATCCAGAATTAGATTTTTATGTCTTGTTCATGTGACAGAACACCTGTAAAAACAAAATGGTATTCTCAGCACACCCCGTGAAATTGGCACATTTAATTCAACATGTGAACTAGAACCAATGTTGTTATTTTTAAAAGGAAGAGATATAAATCCACCGTCACACACCTGTTGTATAAATAAGCAAAGTTAACTATTAATTTTTTAAATGAATTTACTGCTTTCTTGTTTGCTTTGCTGACTCTAAGCAGGTGCCAAGGGAATACAAAAAATATATGAGATAATGTGGAAATTCTTTTCATTAACTTGGCTGTCTTTTTACAATTTTCAGGAAAAAAATATTTTAGTGAACACCTTTTGGTCTACAGAAAACCTGTATTCTATGTGAAGCATGGTTTGAGACGTAATAGTCTATAATGGCAACTGTCTTGTTTTTCTCCTTATCCTTAACAGCAACAGGACTGGGTGTACATACTCTCCTGGGTGTATGTCGTTTAACAGAAAACATAGACTAGGACTCATGCACAAATACCTGTTTGATAGCAGTAACCCTAAACCTTTCCTTCTGACTCATGAAAGCACACTGGAATGTAACTGAGGGTAATTTTTGGGAATAACCTTAAATTCTCCCTAAAAGAAAAAAAATTATATACTTCATAAACTTGAATTATTCTATTTTCTTTTCTTTTTTTGAGACAAAGTTTCACTCTGTCACCCAGGCTGGAGTGCAGTGGCATGATCTCGGCTCACTGCATCCTCTGCCTCCCAGGTTTAAGCAGTTCTCTGCCTCAGCCTCCCAAGTAGCTGGGATTACAGGCACCCACTACCACGCCTGGCTAATCTTTTTTGTATTTTTAGTAGAGATGGGGTTTCACCATCTTGGCCAGGCTGATCTTGAACTCCTGACCTCGTGATCCACCCGCCTCGGCCTCCCAAAGTGCTGGGATTACAGGCATGAGCCACCACGCCCGGCCGAATTATTCTGTTTTCAGTATTATTATTATTATTATTATTTATTTTAGAGACAGGGTCTTGCTCTGTCACACAGGCTGGAGTGCAGCAGCACAATCATAGCTCACTGCAAGTTCTAACTCCTGGGCTCAAGCAATCTTTCCACCTCAGCTTCCTGAGGAGCTGGGTCTGGTCTGCAGACACATGCCACCACACCTCGCTAATTTTTTTATTTTTATTTTTTGTAGAGATGGGAGTCTCACAATGTTGGCCAGGCTGGTCTTAGACATCCTGGACTCAAGTGATCCTTCCACCTTAGACTCCCAAAGTGCCAGGATTACAGGTGTGAGCCACCGTGCCCAGCCTTGAATTATCTTAATAATAACTGAATACTACCCAACTGTTGCAAAACTATGGCTACAATGTCTGTCTTTTATTTTATTTTGTTTTATTTTATTTTATTTTAATAGAGATAGCATCTCACTATGTTGCCCAGGCTGGTCTCTTAACTCCTGGGCATAAACAGTCTGCCAGCCTCAGCCTCCCAGAATGCTGGGATCACAGGCGTGAGCCACCACGGCTAGCCATACGTAGTCTTTCTTATTTTGTATTTCAATAGAGAATTAATATGTTAACTAGTGTTCATTACATGTAGCTGAAATGTAACTTAAAAGAAATTAAGAGATAGTCTTTGTCCTGTGTACCTTACCCTTGAGTGAGGCTTTTGGGCTCCAGAGTTTCACTGGCCTGTTCGGTTCCTGGGAGGGGGATTCTGGTGAGAGTGTGTAACCCTAAGTACCTTTCTCAAGCCTTCCTTTCCCAACTTGCTGCGCTATAAATGCCAAATGCCCAGAAACAGCTGAATTCCCAGCCCAGGGGTTTCATTAGGACCAAAGTTAATTTCCTAGGATTTTAAAATAAATCTCCGTATGTTTTTATCTGTAAACCTAAGGTTTATAAAATTCTTGAGAACTTTAAAACTACCTTATTTTGTATTCTAATAGATGTGAGTGTATGTGTGTATCTCCCGTCCATCAAAACATTTAAGAATAATAGGTTTGAAAAGATTGACTGTTTAACTTACATGGTTTTTTATAGATTTTGAAGGTATGGCCTTTCTTGAAACTGAACAAGGAAAACCATTTGTGTCGGTATTCAGACATTTAAGGTTACAATATATTATCAGTGATCTGGCCTCTGCAAGAATTATTGAACAAGATGCTATAGTACCTTCAGGTAAGAGAACATAATGAATTTGTAATTTTAAGTAATATATTTCTGATTATAACAGTAATATAGATCATAGAATAGAACAAGGAAGTAGAAATTATTATTAATCCCAAAAAGGTATACATGTTTATTCCAAAGTGGAATCATACTATAGAGGTAATTTTCCATGCTTACATATCATGAGTATTTTCCCATATCATATTTCATTAAATACTCTCTAGAATATTTAAATGATTATCTAGTATTCTGTAATATGGATGTTCTTTAATTTAATAAACCAGTACGTGATTTTGGATCAGACTTTTAAAAATGACTTTTGAAGTATTTAAAGATCATAACTGATTTTTCTATTAGTGCTCCTTAAATTTGTTTATTCTGGTTTTTTCTTAAAGTCTTAAACTTCATGTTGAAGCAAATGTGTCTTTGCTAATTATAATTTAAATTTTTTGAAATAACTACTGATTTACCTGAGTTAAATCTCTAGTGCTTGTGAATAATTCCATTTAGTACTATATATACATATAAGAAATGGAAAATAGAATTTCTGTTTGAAGATTTATATGTCATGTTTGCAGTAATAATTAGAGTTACAGATTTGTGTAAAAAGTTGTGATTTTTTTTTACACCTTAATTGTGACATAGCTGTATGTTTATAGATTTAAATTGTTCCTGAAATCTGTATACTTATTTGGAAAGGAATTGAAGGGAAAAAAAACTTAGAGTTAACTCTTCTGGTATATTTGGAAGTGGTGCATTTTTATAAAATCACTTCGGCAAGTTTATAGATGCTGTTTAAATCACAAATTCTCTGAATTTTACATTCCTTATAGTATAGCAGTTCTATAATAGTTTTAGTATCTGTTAAATACCAGGCTCTAGCAATGATGTAATATTAGATGCCAAAGCCAATTACATATGCCACTCTAACTGTACTTCCTTTTAAGGCTTTTTGCAAATGAGTTTTGAAAGAGATTGGGGAAAAGTTTGTTCTAAAGTGGTTTAATTTAAGTGTGCCTGTGATGCAAGTGGATAAGCTTTATATTTTTGGATTGCAAGATGGGTACAAGTATTTCTAGTCTAAAATAGTTTATTCAATATAGAATCAGAAAGAGTTTAGATCCTGTATTTTCTGGCAGATGTCAGTCGTTGTTACCATATCTTACAGATAATTATTTACCACATATTTATCACATTGTGAAGGGACAGAAGGAAGCCACCTAATTCACATTATTGAGATAGATTGGTATATGCTGTCAGTAGGAAGGTATCTTAGATTTGAAATGAGTTGAAATTATTTTGATTAATCAACCTAAAACTTGATCATTTTTCAGAAATAGTGCCAAATGTGTTAACATTAATGAAAGTTAGGCATTTGGCAATGTGGAGATTTTGAGTACATCTGTTTGCCATCTTTAGGTAAAAAATTTAGAAATATGTTTAATTAAAAGTTGAATTGGGACTCTGTATAGAAGCACTTTATTTTAGGATTCAATTGTGTCAAGCACTCTACTTTGTGCTGAGTACTGCTGCAGAGCATTCTACAGCTCTCGTATTGGTGTCACTGCAAATTGACATTTCAACACTAAGCTTGAACCTTGGGACTTCTTATACTACTTTTAGTTCGTTATTTCTCTTTTTCATTTCCTTCAGCAATTATATCAATTTCTGCCACTCTGTTCCAACTTTCTACGCAATTACCTCATTGTCAGTTTCGTGAAAATAAGTTACTGAAAATGAAAAAGTATATAAATCCATGTAATAAATTCAGAAAATAGCTTCAGAACTAGATTTTTATGTTATTATACATAAGCGTTTTTGAACCAGGCTTCTCCATAATTTTGTGTTACTATTTTCTACCTAGATGCTCTATACAGAGTACTCCTATTTGTCCATGTAGGAATTTTTACTATGTAAATGTTTGGTCACTCATCTTCATTATCTACATCTGATTTATGTGTTTCATAAAGTAGTTCAACTTGTAGGCTTAGTTTTTTGCTATAAGCCATATTAGTTTTAAGTGGATTCGTGTGAGTGTATGTATACCTGAAGATACACTTTTCCCTTCACTTAAACAAAAAATGCTGGGCAAATTAGGAAGTATCTTTTTTTGCTTTTTAAAGTTCGTAAACGTAAGACATGACATTTTCAAATAATATTGTTTTAGAGGTCCCCTTTCCATATTCTTTGTGTAAAACTAGGGAAATAATCTAAATAAATTCAGTCTCATGTATCTCATTTATTCCATTGGGAAAATACTGTGTTTATATTCAAAACTGCTGTAGACCAGATCTCAGCTGCAGATCGGATCCATGACACTGTCAAATACCACCCTGACATGCCCATTTTTTTTTTCGCCCTGTGGCCTGGAGAGGGGCAGGCGGGTAGAGGCAGAGTCTTGCTATGTTACCCAGGCTCTTCTCAAACTTCTAGTCTTAAGCAATCCTGCCGCCTCGGTCTCCCAAAATACTGGAATTACAGGCATGAGTCACTGCACCTAGCCCCTATTTTGAGTTTTTGTTTTGGACCTTGGTCTGATAAAGTTTAAAATAAGTGCTGAAACATATTACTATTTAGTCAAAGTTTAGTCTACGTAGTCAAAGTTTCTTGAAGGCACTTTTTCAGAATCTTTCCAGCCAACAGTAGCTCTCTGCCAAAAAGGATTCTGGCAAACTCTGCCTAGTGTTTCTTCCTTTTTGGAAATGATTGCATACAAACATATTGAAAACTCTGTGTAAAGGAACCTGCTTCACTTCTTTTTATCCCATATTTTACCAGGGATTCTTTTTTTTTTTTCCTTTTGCAATGCTATTAACATTGCATTTGAACTTGTGTTACATTGACTTACTTTTGGAATGCTGCTTTTAAGACATGGGACCTAGAATCCTTGAGCTACCAATGACCAGAAAGATTTGAAGTTTGACTTTTTACTCTTTTGGATTAAGCCATGACAAGAGAAACAAAAATATGTACTCATGTTTTTAACTTGTTAAAATGCTTTTGGTTTTAAAGGAGGTTATACAAAAATTTTGCAATTTAAATTCTAAAACATTTTTGGCCGGGCGCGGTGGCTCACACCTGTAATCCCAGCACTTTGGGAGGCGGAGGTGGGTGGATCACAAGGTAAGGAGATCGAGACCATCCTGGACAACACAGTGAAACTCCGTCTCTACTAAAATACAAAAAATAAGCAGGTGTGGTGGTACATGCCTGTAATCCCAGCAACTGGGGAGGCTGAGGTAGGGGAATCGCTCAAACCCAGGAGGCGGAAGTTGCAGTGAACCTAGATCATGCCACCGCACTCCAGCCTGGTGACAGAGCAAGACTCTGTCTCAAAAAAAAAAAAAAAAAAAAATAGTATTCAGAATACGTCTAACATGATATTTGAGAATATACACATATGTGTAACTCATTCCAGTTTTACAAATGAATCATGAAGTGCCATATGCTATCTCTAGATCAATGAGTTTCAAACTCCAGGCATTTTAATAGGTAGTGATCAGCTTTAAATACACATATATAAGAATTTTTGGCCGGGCGCAGTGGCTCACACCTGTAATCCCAGCACTTTGGGAGGCTGAGGCCAGTGGATCATGAGGTCAGGAGATCGAGACCATCCTGGCTAACCTGGTGAAACCCCATCTCTACTAAAAATACAAAAAATTAGCCAGGCATGGTGGCGGGTGCCTGTAGTCCCAGCTACTCAGGAGGCTGAGGCAGGAGAATGGTGTGAACCCTGGAGGCGGAGCTTGCAGTGGGCCAAGATCGCACCACTGTACTCCAGCCTGGGCAACAGAGTGAGACTCCGTCTCAAAAAAAAAAAAAAGAATTTAAAAACATATATGAGTATATGTGTGCTGAGTCATGCAATAGTTGCTACTAGTATTTACCTATGAAGACAAATTATCTATGCTAGACACTTAAATTCCTTATAATATCAAGAATATAATTTTGGAGGACCCTGAAAGAAACATTCAAAAGTGTATTTAGGCCAGACATGGTGGCTCACGCCTGTAATCCCAGCACTAGGTGGCTGAAGCAGGAGACCCCTTCTCCATAAGAAATGGAAAAATTAGCTAGGCATGGTGGCAGACACCTGTAGTCCCAGCTCCTCTAGAGGCTGAGAGGAGAATCACTTGAGCCCAGGAGTTCAAGACTGCAGTTTACCAAGATAGGGCCACTGGACTCCAGCCTGGGCCGCAGAGCGAGACCGTGTCTCTCTCTCTAAAAAAAAAAAAAGTATTTGTATTTATAAGATGTTTTAAGGAGAGACACCAGTAAATCATTGGAAGTCACCTGATTACTTTTATTAAGTAGATACCTAGCAAGTGACAATCCAGATTTTAATTGCACTACAATTTCCACCCCTCTTTTAGACAGAGATTGAAAAATAATTTAAGAACTTTAAAAAAATAGAAAAACTACCCTAGCTGGGGATAAACAAGAGCAGAGAGATAAATAGTGCTAAGCCAATTATTTATTTATTTATTTATTTAAGGCAGGGTCTTGCTCTGTTGCCCAGGTTTTGAGTGCATTGGCATGTCCAGGGCTCACTGCAGCCTTGACCTCCCAGGCTCAAGAGATCTTCCTGCTTTCCTGAGTAGCTGGGACGACAGGCACACGCCACTATGTCCACCTAATTTTCGTGATTTTGGAGAGATCAGGTCTCACTATGTTGCCCAGGCTGGTCTAGAACTCCTGGGTTCAAGTGATCCTCCTACTTCAGCCTCCCAAAGTGCTTGGGATTACAGGCATGAGCCATCTCACCTGGCCTACTCTTATTTTTAATCTGTTTTTATCTAAAATAACTAACATTTCCACTTACACAGGCTTATTTTGTGGGGAAAAGGTGTATTTATTATTAAAGGAATGTCTATAATTATAATTTTTATTCTATTTCGAATAATTTAAAATATTCTAATTTTATATTATCTAAATCTAATATTCTAGAATTATTTATTGAGTGTGCATGTTTCATCTACTAATTTAGGGATTTCCAAAAAAACAAATTAATTGTTATTTTTTAGATGTTAATAACTGAAGAGTTTATTATTCAATTTTCTGTCAGAACTTCTGTAAAAACTAAAAATATAGTTTTAGGTATGATTTTTACAATTGAAAAATTAATATGAACTATGAAAAGGAAAACATTAAATGCAAGAATATGCTTTTAACTAAGGATTTACATCCCAATTTAAATGTATGCAATATAAGTACAGTCTATCCTGAGACAAAGCTATATATAACCTTTACCACTTTAAAGATCATTAAGCCATTATAGTATGTTTGTAAAATATAAGCTACCTACCAGTTTCGTTTGTTTGTTTGTTTGTTTTCTGTCTGTTTGATTGTTTGAGATGGAGTCTCACTCTGTCACCCAGGCTGGAGTGCAGTGGCATGATTTTGGCTCCCTGCAACCTCCACCTCCTGGGTTCAAGCGATTCTCCTGCCTCTGCCACCCAAGTAGTTGGGATTACAGGTGCCCACCACCACACCCAGCGAATTTTTGTATTTTTAATAGAGATGGGGTTTTGCCATGTTAGTCAGGCTGGTCTCGAACTCCTGACCTCAGGTGATCCACCTGTCTTGGCCTCCCAAAGTGCTGGGATTACAGGCATGAGCCACCATGCCTGGCCTAAGCTACCTAATTTTTAAATTGCTATTTTAAACTTGTATTTAGAAATGGTAACAATTTTATCAACTATGAATGTTTAAATCCTTTATGTTCTTCAGTCGTTATTTATTAATTTATTCTTACATTTCAGAATGGCTCTCTTCTGTGTATAAACAGCAGTGGTTTGCTATGCTGCGGGCAGAACAAGACAGTGAGGTGGGGTAAGTATATTATAACATATCATTTTTCGTTAAAAAAATTTGCTATGGATTTTTTAATGCATTAATTATGTTGAAAAATAATTAACAGTATTGAAAACTCAAGCTATTGAAGTAAAGATCATATCACTTTTTATTATATTTTTGCAACATTATCAGTCTTATAAATGTCTTTCTGGTCAATTAGTATAATGCAATTATTGAAATGTCATTTACTTTGTTAGTAAAATCGAACATGTAATCCATGTATACCTTGTTTCACTTAGTATCATACGATTTTCTTTCGACATACTGAACTATTATTTGAGGTAATGCTTTCATAAAGCACAATTTTTATATTTATGTCTAGGTAAATCTGTTTTTTCTTATTTATGGTAGTATTGTCAAATTCTAATTAATGTAATAAATAGGGTTTGATGATCTTTAAGTCTAAAATGAATTTAAATACCATGCAGGCCAGGCACAGTGGCTCACGCCTGTAATCCCAACACTTTGGGAGGCTGAGGTGGGAGGATCACTTGGGGTCAAGAGTTTGAGACCAGCCTGGCCAACATAATGAAACCCTGTCTCTACTAAACCCTGGAAGTGGAGTTTGCAGTGAGCCGAGATTGCTCCACTGCACTTCCAAGCCTGGGGGATAGAGTGAGACTCTGTATCAAAAATAAAATAAAATAAAATAAACAAAACAAAACAACAAAAACACCATCTGGTTACGGATACCTTCCCCAAAAACATATGACTCCCCCCACAAAACATTAATGCTCTTCCTTCATCTTAAAGGAAAGAGGTATAGTGTTTTGTAGTTCACAGAACTTTTATATTTGTGATTTGATCCTTCTGCTAGCTTCTTAATATATAGGTATTATGAAGAGACTGAGAATACAGAAAGACCTTTGAAGTTTAATTTTTTGCCCCTGATCTCTTTGAACTCATTTTTATATACCAAAGAATTTTTTTAAGTAATGACCTAATTATAAGTTTTCATCCAAACAGTAAGTTTATGAAAGTATTACATAAATTCATGATGCTTATGAGATTTTTATTATCCAGGATCCTAGTTTCTACTTTGATTATAATTATATATTTTTTCAACTATATTCCTGGTATATTTATCCAGCATAAATAATAGTAAGATTGTTGAGGCTGGGCGCGGTGGCTCACGCCTGTAATCCCAGCACTTTGAGGGGCCAAGGTGGGTGGATCACCTGAGGTTGGGAATTCGAGACCAGCCTGACCAACATGGAGAAACCCCGTCTCTACTAAAAATACAAAATTAACCGGGTGTGGTGGCACATGCCTGTAATCCCAGCTACTCAAGAGGCTGAGGCAGGAGAACCGCTTGAACCTGGGAGGTGGAGGTTGCAGTGAGCCAAGATTGCACCATTGCACTCCAGCCTGGGCAACAAAAGCGAAACTCCGTCCCAAAAATAAATAAGAAAAAAAAGGTTGTTGAAATACAAATAATAAATTGAAACCAAAAAATGAACTATTTAATGAAATTGAGAACTGAAGCATTTTGTAGTATATGAAGTAACAATGAGCTATTTAATGGAATTGAGAACTGAAGCATTTTGTAGTATATGAAGTAACAATGAACTGTTTAATGGAATTGAGAACTGAAGCATTTTTGTAGTGTATGAAGTAGCTTATAAATCATCCTATATCTTCTGTATATTCAATTTTTAGATTTTGGATGTTCTTTACTTTTCAAGATTTTCCTCACCCATATCTTTATTGAGGGTAATATAGAGTCTCATCTAAGATACTGCACTAGAATAAGTGTTTAGTTTTTTGCCTAAGAGGTACAGTCATTCTGGGGGGATTGGTTTCAGGACCCCTGCGTATACCAAAATCCACACATACTCTAGTCCCACAGTTGTTTAGTCCTGCAAAACCCACATATACAAAAAGTTGGCTCTCCATATACAAGTGGGATTTCACATCCCACAAATACTGCTTTTTTTTTTTTTTCCTTTTTTTTTTCTGAGACGGAGTCTCTGTCGCCGAGGCTAGAGTACAGTGGCGCAGTCACAGCTCACTGCAAGCTCCGCCTCCCGGGTTCACACCATTCTCCTGCCTCAGCCTCTCCAGCCACTGGGACTACAAGCGCCCACCACCATGCCCGGCTAATTTTTTTGTATTTTTAGTAGAGACAGGATTTCACCATGTTAGACTGGATGGTCTCAATCTCCTGACCTCGTGATCCGCCCTCCTCGGCTTCCCAAAGTGCTGGAATTACAGGCATGAGCCACCGCGCCTGGCCAAATAGTTCATTTTTTATCTGATTTTGGTTGAGAAAAATCTGTGTATAAATGGACCCAAGCAGTTCAAACCTGTTGTTCAAGGGTCAACTGTGTATGATTATATTCCCGCTTAGGAAATGTTCTGTTCAGCAGATCAAGCATCTGCTCACTGCTGCAGGACTGCTAAAGTGAGGAAGACACTATATTCCCTGGATGCTAGGTTATAATCTGATGTCAAGTCTCCCTCTGGGGTTTTCCTCATAAAACTCTCGTTTACATTGCCAAGAAGGTTATCTTTCTAAAACGGAAATAAAACTGTGTCACTCCTCTACTTAAATATGTCCAGGGATATTTCATGGTAGTTTAAGGGATTATAGTATTGGTATTCAAAATTATTGAAGCTAGATGGTAAGAAAATTTGGCTCATTACACTGTTTTCTCTGCTTTCATATGTTTGCAGTTTTTCATAATAAAAAATTTTAAAGTTACAGAATAAATGCTTGGAAACTAGTTACCTACAAGAGCAGTTGAAACTTATTAGCATGACCTGTGGGAACTGTCAGCATTCTATCCCAGATGCGTTTAGCTTCATCTCCTTTCATGTTCATCTGCACTAAATGTGCACTAAATTCTTATGTTCGTATGCTGCAGCTGTATTAAATTCCTTTACATTTGGTTTTCTGTTATGCTCCAGTTCCTTTTTATCCACTATTTCTTCTGCCTGGAATACTCTTAGCCCTCCTTAGAATTCACCCCTCACCTCCACCTCACCCAACAAGCTTCCACTCAGGCACAAATAATATTTACTCTCTAATGATCCCCCTCTAACCATGGGCAATAAATCTGTACCTTCTTCATGCTCTTAACATCACAAACCACAAACTATTAATGTTATTATAATTAACTGTATTATAATTAGTCTAATTTCCTACTAAACTGAGCTCTTGGATATCAAGGACATGTTTTATTAGTCTTATTTACACTTATTTATTTATTGTGTTTGTTTCATTATTTTATTATCTATTATATATGCTATTATTGCACCCAGTTTCTAGACACTTCATGTTGTGAATGAGTATATGAATGAATGTATTGTATTGCTATTATCATTTGGAATTATGAAGCTAATAATACTATATTTATTACAACTTGAGATAACAGTGTTTCTCTTAATTTATTAAGGTTTTTAAACTAGGGAACCAAGTAAAGACTTAACTGATAAAATTCTACATTTTCTATTAAATATTGATTTTGCATACTTACACTACATGAAAAATGGTTTGCATGTGAAACAAGTAATGTTAAGTGGTAGGTGATATCAAGTCACATCTTATTTACAGAAATAATAGATTTTAATTTGTTTTACTTAGTAGACTTTTGCTTTTTTTTTTTTTTGGCAAATAGAATTTTTCAGTTTTTCTTTTCCTCTTCTCTGGTTTGACTGAGCCCTAATAAAAGTAGTCCAGAAGTCAGGGCAATAAGATATTAAATTTAATAGAAGATATTAAATCTTTTTTATCTAGCAAAGGTAATAGACTAAATTTAATCAACACATTGTTATTTTTATCTGTACCACAAAAATTTATTTTTAAATCTGGTAGCAAGATTTTCTGTCCTTAACTCATAGTTCTTTTTCAATTATTAGTTGCATATTTTCTATGAGAGTTCATGTTTTATGTATATTTTTAGGCCTCAAGAAATCAATAAAGAAGAACTAGAGGGAAATAGCATGAGGTGTGGTAGAAAGCTTGCCAAAGATGGTGAAGTAAGTATGGGTTGTGACTGTTAATATTCTCATACAAATTGTATTATCAGCACATCCTGCACCTGTAAGTAATAATCATGACACTTGTCATACCTCAGAAGAGCTTGTATACTTTCTGTAGCATGATCTTCTGGGAAAGGCGTTACAGCCACCACACTCAGTAGTGATTGATTACTTGGCCTTGTATGAGAATACCGAACTTAAATTTTGAGTTCAGATAAGAGATACAAGAAGAGGGTACCTTAGCAATCCGAAATTAAGATGAAGAAATTGTGAGGGATCTGTTACATAGTCTTACAAGTGATTCTGTGTTACAGTTATCCTAAATCAAGGACATTCAGATCCATTGATTGTTACCCACATTAGGAATTACCTTTTCTCGGCCAGGCACGGTGGCTCACACCTATAATCCCAGCACTTTGGAAGGCTGAGGTGGGTAGATCGCTTGAGGCCAAGAGTTCAAGATCAGCCTCGCCAACATGGTGAAACCCTGTCTCTACTGAAAATACAAAAGTTAGCCAGGCATGGTGGTGCGTGCCTGTAAACCCAGCTACCAGGGAGGGTGAGGCACAAGAATCACCTGAACTTGGGAGGCGGAGGTTACAGTGAGCCAAGATCATGCCACTGCACTCCAGCCTGGCTGGAGAAACCCCATCTCAAAAAAAAAAAAAAAGATATTTTTTCATTATCACCCAATATAAATGTATATAAGTGAAAGAACAGTATTTGAAAACAATACTTATGCCTGTGCATCCAGAGATTCTTTTTTCTATTTAATACTTTTATTGTTATTTTTTATTTAGAGACAGGCTGTCCCTCTGTCACCCAATCGGGAGTGCAGTGGCGTGACCACAGCTCACTGCAGCCTTTACCTCCCAGGCTCAAGCACTCCTCCCATCCCAGCATCCCAAATAGCTGGAATTACAAGCATGAACCACCATGCCCAGCTATCTATTTAATGTTTTTTAAAAAAAAAAACTGACTGTGGCTGGGCGTGGTGGCTCACGCCTATAATCCTAGCACTTTGGGAGGCCAAGGCAGGCAGATCACACTGTCAAGAGATCGAGACCATCCTGGCCAACATGGTGAAACCCCATCTCTACTAAAAACACAAAAATTAGCTGGGTGTGGTGGTGCACACTTGTAGTCCCAGCTACTCGGGAGGCTGAGGCAGGAGAATCGCCTGAACCCAGAAGGCAGAAGTTGCAGTGAATTGAGATCACACCACTGCGCTCCAGCCTGGTGACAGAGCGAGACTCCATCTCAAAAACAAAACAAAACAAAAAAACCCAGCTGATTGTATCCTATTCAATTGATTTTACAATCTACTAATGGGACATGAACTACATTTTTAAATATTCCCCCCCAACTAATTATAATTTTTATTTTTCAAAAAAATCAGCCTTATATAGATACCCATTTGGTTATTTCTATCCCAAACTTTTCCTCATTTTTACTTTATTTATTTTTAGTTTTTAAAAGTTGATTGTTTTATGTTTGCATTGGTTGACTGATTGGCAGTGTCTCAATGTGTCGCCCAGGCTGGAGTGCAGTGGCACAATCATTGCTCACTGCAGCCTCAGTGCTCTGAACTGAAAGCAATCCTCCTACCTCAGTCTGTGGAGTAGCTGAGGCCGCAAACACATGCCACCACACCCAGCTAATCTTATTTTTTACTATTTGTAGAGATGGGGGTCTCCCTATGCTGCCCAGGCTGATCTCAAATTCCTGGGCTCAAGAGATTCTCCTGCCTTAGCCTCCCAAAGTGGTGGGATTACAGGCGTGAGGCACCATACCCAGCCTGTGTTTGCCTTTATATTATGATAGATGTTCAGAGTATTAAAGAATAGTTTTCTTTAGTTCACATTTTTCCTTGTTGCTGCTTCCAGATCTTGTTGTTACTTTGAAGCAAATGCTTCTACTATACCACCTACTACCCTTATTATGACCATAATTCACTGAGCTCACTGCCTTTCTTTTCTTTTTTTATTTCTTTTTTTTTTTTTTTTTGAGACAGAGTCTCACTCTGTTGCCCAGGCTGGAATGCAGTGGCACAATCATGACTCACGGAAGCCTTGACTTCCTGGGCTCAAGTGATCCTCCCACCTGAGCCTCCCAAGTAGCTGGGACTACAAGCATGCACCACCACGCCTGGCTAATTTTTAAAAATTTTTTGTAAAGACGAGGTCTCACTAGTTGCCCAGGCTGGTCTCAAACTCCTGGGCTCAAGTGGTCCTCCTACCTTGGCCTCCCATATTGTTGAGATTACAGGCGTGAGCCACCACGTCCAGCCCTCATTACCTTTCTTTATCACTATTCTTATTATCAGTCTTGATGATTTCAATATCTCTATTCCTTGACCTTCCTTCCCCCATGCTCTCGTGCTCCACCCTACCTCAGGCATCCATTCCCATGAGCATATCCTTGCATTATTAATTACTACACCACCTTCAAAATCTCCATTTCAGGCATCCCGTTTTCAGACCCCACCTCGTCTTTCTAGCTCATTCTCTCTAGCACCTGGACTCCAACAATTTTTTAACCCCGTTTGGCTATATAATACATTATTTTTGCAACCTTTCCCTATCACCTTTCTGACCACATTTCTACTTTCTTTGCCTGACTTATATTTTGTGTTCCATCTTAAAATTGGTCGCTTGCTTATACTCTTTTAACTTTTCTTTTTCCTCTTTGACATGTTAAACTCACCTGGCTAAACCCCAACTCTTGTTAAGGGTTGCACTCCATGCTTGCATCCAGACAGATGAATGTGATTAAAGACAAGCACCATACCCCATTAGGTTCCACTTGAATGTGGTAACCATGAATTTCAAGTAGGTTAGTGCTGCATCATGATCTGTCTGCATTTCCCTAGTGAACTGATCCTCCCATTAGCTGAGATAACTCATACCTTCTCTCCTCAAAAGGGCAATACTCTCACCCTTATTCTTACCTGATGGCCTTGCTGCCTACTGCAATGAAAAGAGAATCTGTACATCCTTTTACCAGTAGTTCTGCCAGTCTACCTGCATCTATAGCTATGCGCTATGCTTTTCCTCTTATTAGAAAAATGAACTGCCTGCTTCTTAGTCCATTCCCTCTCTTTGTACTGGACTCTATCCATGCTCACCTATTCAGAACCTTTGCTCCAGCCAGGCACAGTGGTATGCACCTGCAGTTCCAGCTACTTGGGAGGATTAGGTGGAAAAATTGCTTGAACCCAGGAGTTAGAGTTCAGCCTGGGCAATATAGAGAGACCTTGTCTCTTAAAAAAAAAAAAAAAAAAAAAAAGCTTTGCCCTTACAGTTATCACCTCACCTCTGCTAGGGCAGAAACTGTATGTTATTTACTGCTATGATTCCATTGCTTAGAGGAGTGCCTGGCATATAATATGTGCTCAATAAATATCAGTTAATACTGAATTGCAATCCAGGGTGTCAGCCAAACACTTGAAGCCCTAACTACTTCTCTCTATCACACCACCTTATCTGGTACTCTCACATTAACTATTAGCTGATAGAATAAACAAACTCGTGAACCCCATGATGGTATTTACATAACCCAGTTATGTGTCACTTAAGGTATTTTAGAGTATTTTTAAAGCAAGGAGATTTTAATGGGTTCTTAGTTACCCCCATCTAGATTCTTAGTGCTCTAAGCTATATAGTCACATAGAGTTGCAGCGAAAAGCCTTATTATTGCTTCACACAGTGGCTTATGCCTGTAATCCCAGCACTTTGGGAGGCTGAGGCGGGCGGATCACAAGATCAGGAGTTCAAGACCAACCTGGCCAACATAGTGAAACCCTGTCTCTACTAAAAATACAAAAAAAAAAAAAAAGGCCAGACGCAGTGGCTCTCTTCTATAGTCCCAGCACTTTAGGAGGCTGAGGCGGGCAGATCACCTGAGGTCGGGAGTTCGAGACCAGCCTGACCAACATGGAGAAACCCCGTCTCTATTAAAAATACAAAATTAGCCAGGCGTGGTGTTGCATGCCTGTAATCCCAGCTACTCGGGAGGCTGAGGCAGGAGAATCGTTTGAACCCGGGAGGCGGAGGTTGTGGTGAGCCGAAATCATGCCATTGCACTCCAGCCTGGGCAACTAGAGCAAAACTGTGTCTCAAAAAACAACAACAACAAAAATTAGCCGGGCGTGGTGGCAGGCATCTGTAGTCCCAGCTACTTGGGAGCCTGAGGCAGGAGAATCACTTGAACCTGGGAGGTGGAGGTTGCAGTGAGCCGAGATAATGCCGCTGCAGTCCAGCCTGAGTGACAGTGAGACTCCATCTCAAAAAAAAAAAAAAAGCATTATTATTTATGGTAGAATTGCAGTATGAAGAGATAAGGAAACTGATCATGAAGAGGAAAGTAGCTTAGAGAATTATGATCATAAGGGCAGCTTTTCTGGCATAGATGTATGTATAGTTTGGGGTGATAAGCCTGAAGAAAAAGTCACTGACAAAAAGTCAGCCACTCATGAGGGAAATACTTGTAATGAGTTAGAGACAAAAGACATTTTGAATTTTTTATTTTTGACTTGCTAATATGATAAACTGAAGTAAGTCTTCTTTCTTGTATTTTTTAGTACTGCTGGCGTTGGACGGGTTTTAACTTCGGCTTTGACCTACTTGTAACTTACACCAATCGATACATCATTTTCAAACGCAATACACTGAATCAGCCATGTAGCGGATCTGTCAGTTTACAGCCTCGAAGGAGCATAGCATTTAGGTAGGATGAGATTCCCCACCCCACTCCTCCTCACTCCAGAGGAAATGTAAGAAATAAAACCTTGATAATTTACACCAACATTAGTAGAACTTTGGTAAGCTACAGTATATGTGAAAGTGGTAGGAAATGACGAGGCTCCATTCCTGTGAAATGTATTGTCAGTAATCAGAATCATAAGATCTAGTATGTCAGGGAGAATGAATAGGCTGGAATATATACCAATAGGGAATATCAGCCTTGAAGTTATCGCCTTGTTGCTATTCCTAGCAAATAAAAGGTCCAGACTGTTGAAATATGTAGCAAGGTAGTTTCCAGGAAAACATGTATTATCCTTAACTTTTTAAAGGATTTAATATATTAAACTTTGCCCAGTAGTTGCTAGCAATCTTTTTCTGAGAGCATACCAGAAGCTGACAAATTGGACAATAGCTTAATGAACATATGATTTAAAAGTCATATGTTTATACTTACCTTACACCAAATACAGAAATTAACTCAAAATGGATCAAAGATCTAAGCATAAGAACTAAAACTATTAAACTCTCGGAAGAAAACATAGGGGGAAAGCTTCCTAACGATTGATTTGGCAGTGATTTCTTCCATAATACACCCAAGCACAGGCAACAAAAGAAGCAATAGATAAAATTGGACTTCATCAAAATCACAAACCTATGTATCAGAGGACAGTGAAAAGGCAACCTGGGGAATGAGAGAAGATATTTGTAACCATACATTTGACAAGACATGAATACCCAGAATATACAGAAAATTCCTACAACTCTATAATTTAAAAAGACAACTCAACTCAAAAATGGGCCAAAGACTTGCATAAACATTTCTCCAAAGAAGATATACAGATGGCTAAAAAACACATGAAAAGATGCTCAACATTACTAATTAGGGAAATACAAACCAAAACCACAGTGATCTTTCACTTCACACCTGTTGGGATGGCTATTAATAAAAACAGAATTAAAAAAAAAAAACAAAAGTAACAGGTGTTGGTAAGGATGTGGAGTATTTAGAATCCTTGTGCACTGCTCGTGGCCATATAAAATGGCACAGACACTATGGAACATGGTATATCGCTTTCTCAAAAAAATTGAACAGAATTACCATACAATCCAGTAATTTCTCTTCTGAGTATAGACCCAGAAGAATTGAAAATAGGGACTTAGGCTGGGCACGGTGGCTCACGCCTATAATCCCAGCACTTTGGGAGGCTGAGGCGGGCGGATCACAAGGTCAGGAGATCGAGACCATCCTGGCTAACACGGTGAAAACCCCGCCTCTACTAAAAATACAAAAAACTTAGCCGGGCGTGGTGATGGGCACCTGTAGTCCCAGCTACCTGGGAGGCTGAGGCAGGAGAATGGCGTGAACCTGGGAGGCAGAGCTTGCAGTGAGCCGAGATTGCGCCACTGCCCTCCAGCTGGGCGACAGAGCAAGACTCCGTCTCAAAAAAAAAAAAAAAAAAGAAAATAGGGGCTTAAACAGATATTTTTGAATACTTATGTTCATAACAGCGTTATTCACAATAGCCAAAAGGTGGAAGCAGCCCACATGTTCACTGACAGATGCTAGAGAAACAAAATATGGTACATACATAAAAGAGAACATATTTAGCCTTGAAAAGAAAGGAAATTCTGATACATGCTAAACATGGATGAACCTGGAAGACATGCCAAGTGAAATAAGCCACTCACAAAAGCACAAATATTATAAGATTCCACTCATATGAAGTACCTAGAGTAGACAAATTCATAGGTACAGAGGGTACACTGGTGGTTGCCAGGGCCTGAGGGAAGGGAAAGTGGGGAGTTAGTGTTTAATGGGTAAGGAGCTTCAGTGAGGGAAAATGAAAATGTTCTAGAGATGGGTAAAGAACAATGTGGAAATATATTTAATGCCACAGAACTATATACTTTAAAATGGTTAAAATGATAAATGTTATGTATATTTTACCACAGTAAAAACATTTATAAATTATTTCTCTTGGCCAGATATGTGTAATAGCACAGGCTTGTCACTGAATGCAGTCAGATTACAGTTTGAAAAGACTTCCTGAAAGTCTTTTATCAAATAAAAAACAGAGGAAAAAGTAAATATGAAAGTGAGGAAGGGCTTATTTAATCTGTGGTTTAAAAATCCTGTGTTTATTTATTTATTTTTTTAAATCCTAGATTACGTTTGGCTTCTTTTGATAGTAGTGGAAAACTAATATGTAGTAGAACAACTGGCTATCAAATACTTACACTTGAAAAGGATCAGGTATGTTCGGTTATCTTCTGGTATGTCATTATAATATTTGTCTTTCGAATCCTCTTTTGAAAATTCTTAAGTAGAATTAGCATTAAAGTGATGGCATTTTGACCTAAAAGTTGGTTTGAAAGCCTTTTGAAGGTAAAGATGAAAGTACCATGTTCACTTATGCATAACTGACCCCATCCCAATGGAAGCATAATTGGGAGAAAAAAAGAAAACACTATTTGAGGGGCAGGGAAACGCTGATTATAAGGCAATAATTTGTTTATCCTGAATATCATCAGCAGCACTAAAATTCATTCCTAAAATTTTAGGAACTTAAGTGCTTTATCCATTGTGTACATAGTGCATTTATTTATACATTCACACAGCAGGCGTCTTGAAGACAATCCTGTATGTCTCCGAAGCTCCTTAATATCGTAAGAGCATTATTCTCTAGCCCATTAGGTTCGTAAGATGGCAAACTCTGTATTGTTCCCCAGATTATCTCCAAAGCCATTTATTTATTCATACATCACACACTTGGAGAAGTTTCAAAGTGTCATGATGAGAAAGTAGACCATTTTTAAAAGTAAAATTGAAAGCTGTTAAAATATTGAGGAAGTTTATTTCTATTAAAACTAATCATCATTCCAAAAGGCATAATGTTTTATTAAAGGATTCAAAGCTTGTTATAGTTTACATAAATTATGAGAAGTTAGTAGTTTTCCTCAGACTGAAGAGACTATCGTAGAACATCCTTAGCATTGCAAGTAACCCTGGAAGTGATCATTGTAACCTCACATGCCATATGAGAACTTCTTTTAATAGCATTCTTACAGAGGGTCATCCACTCATTGTTGAAACTCTAGCCAACCATCTTATATGAAAGGTAATAGGTAGGAATGTCCATTTCAAGGCAGATATATAATGAGAAAGTTCAAATCTGCCTCCATCAGAATTCTCTGTTGGTCCTTCTTGTACCCTCTGCAGCTGAATAGACAATGACTATCTTTATTTCTACCTGAAACTTCATGAAAAATACCATCATGGCTCAATCCCAGCCAGAGACCTAAAAATGCACCAGGCCAAGATAGTAGTTGTATTCCATAGGTTCCTTCAGCAAACATTTGTGTCCCCACCATGTGCTTGGTTCTCAGCTAAGAGTAGAAGAAATAAAGACAGGCTTGTGTTAATATAGACTAGTGTAAGTAGCACGATAGAATGAGCTCAGAGTGTGCAACCTTGAGGGAGAAGACTCTAACCTGTAACTGAGCAGTTGCCGGGGTTGGGGGTGGTTAATGGAGGAGGAGGAGAAAGAAAGACAGCTCAGGGAAAGCATTGTCTCCTGGAGAAGTGTTAAAGTCAATGCATACCTGAACCAAGCCTCAAACAGTGAGTAAGATGGAAGCAAGGGAATACACGGGTCATTCAAGGAACTGTAGGACGGTTGGAAGAGTTCAGTATAACTAGAGCCAGGGCATAAGGGCTGTGGATGGAGTTTGGAAGATTTACTTTGGGAGTTGTGTGTTTCATATAGGTTATGGATGTTGTAGAAAGAACGAGAATGGAAAATATAAGTCAGCTGAAATAACAATCATACATGTACCACTCAGATACATTGCTGAGTTTTTTCTTCACCTGTATCTTTTTTGCAAAATTGGATCACAGTAGATTAGCTATTTTGTAACCTGCTTTTTTTTAATGGTGAAATATATATATATTTAGAATTCACCAGCTGGATTCAACTTAGATGATCCCAGTTTTTTGGCAGCATCTAAAAGCAGCATGCTCAGGAGCCAGTTGAACATGCGCTTTCTTCTTTCCATCAGCCCTGATCACGGTGTTGATCTTGGCCACCTCGGTGTCATAGAGCTCCTCCACAGCCTGTTTGATCTTATGCTTTTTGGCCTCAACATCCACAGTGAACACAAGTGTGGTGTTGTCTTCTGTCTCCTTCATGGCCAACTCAGTGGTTGGGGAGAACTTGTTGGCCGCATAGTGGTCAGGCCTGGGGAAGAGGCAAAGTGGGGTTACCTGGCCTGGGCCCAGTAGAAGAAAGGCTTAGTCCTGTTTCAGAGCCCAAGGCCAGGAGAGCCTAGATGCATCAGACAGTGAGGTAGTAATTGTAATCTACTTTTTTTTTTTTCACTTTGTTGTACATAGCTTTTCTTGTCAATAAATATATATTCACAGCATCATTTTTATGAACTGCATAATATTAGTTGTTTTAGCTATACCATAATTTAGATAATTCCTCTTTATTGGATAAAGTTGTTTCTCATTTTTTTCAGTACTATAGGAAATATATGTATATCTTTGTCCGTTTTTATGATATTTTAAAAGCGTAAATTCCAAGTAGAATTCTTGTTGCATGGTACATACAATTTTCTAATGGACAAATTGCCCTCCAAAGGTACTGTCCAATTCATACTGCCCCCCGGCAGCAGTACAGGAGAGTATACCCGATATTGTGTCTTATCATTCTTTTTCATCTCTATCCCAGTGTAGTAAATGTGAAAACAAATATTTGTTTTAACTTTCATTTCTTTTTTATTTGTTTGTTTTGAGACAGAGTCTTGCTCTGTCACCCAGGCTGGAGTGCACTAATTTTTGTATTTAGAGTAGAGATAGGGTTTCACCATGTTAGCCAGGCTGGTCTTGAACTTCTGGCCTCAAGTGATCCACCTGCCTTGGCCTCCCAAAGTGCTGGGATTACAGGTGTGAGCCACCACGCCTGGCCCTTAATTTTCAATGTTCATTTCTTTGGTTAGTGTATGGTTGGGTTTTGTTATGCTTATTGAACACATCATCTCATGTAAACTGACAGCTTATGTTGTTTCTGTTAAATTTTTTATTAAAATGTTCATTTTTTTCTTGCTAATTTTTAACAGCTTTTATATATTAAAAATACTAACATTTGTGATAGTCTGTAGTTTTTACTTTTTCTCTTTTTTTTTTTTTTGAGACAGGTTGTCACTCTCACTCAGGCTGGAGTGCGGTGGTACAATCATGGCTCACTGCAGCCTCCACCTCCTGGGCCTCACAAGTAGCTGAGACTACAGGCTCGAACCACCACGCCCAGCTAAATATTTTTGTATTTTTTTATAGAGACGAGGTTTTGCCACGTTGCCCAGGCTGGTCTGGAATTCCTGGGCTCAAGTGATCCATCTGCCTCGGCTTCCCAAAATGCTGGGATTACAGGCATGAGCCACCGTGCCCAGTCTTTACATTTTTGTCATTTGTCTTTTCAACCTTCAAAACAATCTATCTTTTTCTTTTATGATTTGTTTTTTTGGTGTGACCCTTAGGCCCCCATTTTACTAGGATTATATAAATAGTCATCTATATATTTTTCTGTTCTTTTTATGGCTTAATTTTTTACTTTGGAGTATTTGACGATGTATCTGAAATGTACTGGATGTATCAGTGTGTTTGAAATGCCTTATTGTACATGAAATACTTATACACTTGCTTTCATTTCTGGACTTTCTGTTTTATTGATTTCTTTGTTATGAAGACAAGGCATTGTTTTAATTAGGCTAACTTTAAAATGCATTTTAATATTTAGTAATACAAAACCACCTTCATTTTTCTTTTTTCAAAAATCTCTCAGTTCTTTTTGCATGATTATTCTCCTGTATGGGATGTAGAATCATTTTGCTAAGTTTCCTTTCAAAAATTCCTGTGGGAATTTTAATTTATATGATTAAATATGTAGACTAGTTTGTGGACAGTTGATGTCTTCCTTTCTGGAATATGGTATTTTCTACATTTATTTAGGTCTTCTCTTATGTCTCTCTCTAAAATTTGTAGTTTTTCCCATATTGTTCCTGTATTATTTCCTAGAAGTATAATGTTTAGTATTTTATTTTGTTATTTTTTTTTGAGATGGAGTCTTGTTCTGTCGCCAGGCTGGAGTGCAGTGGCGTGATCTCAGCTCACTGCAACTTCCACCTCCTGGGTTCAAGCGATTCCCCTGCCTCAGCCTCCCAAGTAGCTGGGATTACAGGCACATGCCACCATGCCCCACTTTTTTGTATTTTAGTAGAGACGGGGTTTCACCATGTTGGCCAAGATGGTCTCAATCTCCTGACCTTGTGATCCGCTGTCCTCGGCCTCCCAAAGTGCTGGGATTACAGGCGTGAGCCACTGCGCCCAGCCAGTATTTTACATTTCAATTGCTAATATGAAATGAATCATTTGTTCTAATAGTTTTTGATAATGTAAGGAAGGTAGTGAATTTTGCATATTTATTTTGTAACTGTCTGTCTTATAAGACCATGCTAAATGGATTTTCACTATAGAAGGTTCCCTCAGACGGCAATGTGTAGGAAGGATTCAGGATATGATAATGGCAATAAAACAATTTATTGATTATATAGCTATAATTCAAATTAAAAGTGATGAGAACCTTAAAGAATGTAGCAGTGAAGATGAAAATATTCATGGGTTCTGGAAATAAAGTGGTGCAACTGAGAATTTGATTCTTAATCGTGTGTGTGCATGAGGAAATGTCAGATGGTTCATGGTTTTCTGATTTGGGCAATTTGATTTATAGTAGTGGTTTTACCTGAGATTTGAATTATAGGAAGGAAAATGAACATGACGTAGTGTTGGTGATGGTGAAGAGATGATGAATTCCGTTTAGGGCACGTTTAATTTGAGAACATCAAGGTGAAAATTTGATAGGCTGGTTAATAAATGGATTTGGAGTTTACAAGTAATGCCTGAACTAGAAATAATAATTGGATGAGATAACATTCAGGAAATGTGTAGAGAATATGACACGATAGAACCCTAGTGATCACTGGTATTTAAGAGATGGGCAAAAAAGGTAACCTGGTGAGACATTCAAAAGCTGGGATGGGGAATCAAAGCCAAATTGCAGGCTTGGCATGGTAGCATATGCCTGTAATCCTAGCACTTTGGGAGGCCGAGGCAAGAGGATTGCTTGAGACCAGGAGTTCAAGACCAGCCCTGGCAACATAGCGAAACCCTGTCTATACAAAAAATTAAAAAATTAGCCAGGCATGGTGGCATGTGCCTGTAGTACCACCAACTCAGAAACTGAGGCAGGAGGATCACTTGAGCCTGGGAGGCTGAGGCTGCAATAAGCTGTGATCATGCCACCGCACTCCAGCCTGGGTGACAGAGTCAGGTCCTGTCTCCAGACAAAAACAGACAAACAAAAAACACTACCAACAACAACAAATACCCAGAAATTTATTTTTTGTATTATTTTTTTTTAATTTTTTATTATTATTATACTTTAAGTTGTAGGGGTACATGTGCATAACGTGGCAGGTTTGTTACATATGTGTATCACTTGTGCCCATGTTGGTGTTGCTGCACCCATCAACTCGTCATTTACATCAGGTGATAACTCCCAATGCAATCCCTCCCCCCGTCCCCCCTCCCCATGATAGGCCCCAGTTGTGTGATGTTCCCCTTCCTGAGTCAAGTGTGATCTCATTGTTCAGTTCCCACTATGAGTGAGAACATGCCGTGTTGGTTTTCTGTTCTGTGTATGACTTAGGTTTGCTAAGGAATTGGATGGTTTCCAGCTGGCATCCATGTTCCCTACAAAGGACACGAAGACTCATCCTTTTCATTAAAAAGTCAGGAAACAACAGGGGTGGAGAGATGTGGAGAAATAGGCAACATACTTTTTACGACTGTGGTGGGATTGTAAACTTAGTTCAACATTATGGAAAAACAGTATGGGCGGTTCCTCAAGGTGGATCTAGAACTAGATGTACCATAATGGACCCAGCAATCCCATTACTGGGTATATTACCCAAAGGATTATAAATTATGCTGCTATAAAAGACAACATGCAACGTATGTTTATTGCAGCACTATTCACAATAGCAAAGACTTGGAATCAACCCAAATGTCCATCAGTGACAGACTGGATTAAGAAAATGTGGCACATATACACCAGAAATTTATTTTTTTAAGCCGAATTGTAAGAGTGAAAGTGGAGGTGGCCCAGAAAGAAAGAAAGGAAGGGATAGATAGTAGCCAATAGTTGAGGGTTTGAATTTGAGTTACTTTATAACTAAGTAAAGATTATTCAATAGTGAGTTGTATTTGTAGATCTTGGAATTTAGACATATAAGATAGAATGTGGGGGAAGTAATAGAGGAATAGTATAGAATAAGTTGCAAAAACCTCAGAGAAGCAGGGATCTCTACATAGAGATGAATAACTAATTATCTGGAAGTAGAAGTGGGGACCTAGGAGGATGCTGCTGCTCTGCTGCTGTGATATGTGGGCTCCACAGCTTCCATCCATAGTGGAATAATGACAATAGAACTTTGCTGTAAAGGTACTTCAATGCAAATGCAGATGCAGATTGAACCTTTAGGTGAAGCAACACACTTGATGAAGCCAGGATCAACCTATCCTGTTTGGGAATGGAGAGTGGGGATTAATACAATTTAATATTCAAAAATTGGTGTGTCCATTCAGCCAAATGATATCCACATGGCTTCCTTCTTTCTCCAGAGTTGGCCCTTTGACCTGCCCTTCCCTGCCTCAATCTTAACTATATTCAAATACCAGAAGGCTAATCATCCTCAGAAGTTTTTAGTTATTAGGTACAGAATCTTAATTTTTATCATCAGATATACATATCATCAAAGCATTTGTCCTCAACAAATTTGGTAAATGTGCCTTCATCCAGATTATTGATATAAATTTTGACTAGGTCAGGATGTCTCAAGTATCTGAAGACCAACCATGCTTTGGCATCGTTCCTCTCTGGTGACACTGTTAGCACAATCAGTCTAGGTGATGGCCTCCCCTGATTTTGTTCACTGATGTCTTTTTAAAATACCACTTTCCCTCATATATGTAGAGAGAGATTGTGTGTGTGTGTGTGTGTGAGACATTTGTACTCTCTACCTTCTTTATTCAAATTTATCTCCTTGTTCCCTCAACACAGAAGCTGTGTCCAGTGAGTCTGCTTCAGTCACTCAAATATTCTAGTTTTAGTCCCTCTTCATGCAGGAATACATGCCTCAGTAAAAAATTAAAACTTTGGATTTAAACAGTGTTTAATAGTATCTTACCCAAAATAAATAAAGTGTAACTAATGGATACTATTGCAGAGAGTGTATGCCAGGCATTTAAAATGTAGGAATTCTCATTTTAGTGTTTCCTCTTTTACTCTGAGGATTGATTCTGTCTAGCAAATGCTTCTAGTAAAGGATATATGAGGTTCCAAACAGAGATCTGTAGCATCAGGGATGTTATATTTGTGTAGTGTCAACTCCTGTCTCTGGGAGTTCTGAGCATTCTTGTGTGTGTTGATGTAACTGAACCTGAAATTGCTTTTCCATGATAATGCATTTTATGTTTCAGGAGACAAATTACATGTTTGTCATAGGGACAGTGGGAAATCTTAAACAATAGTAGGAACCCTGCTTTTTGGTGATGATAATGACTCCTGACCCTCATCCCAGTGATTTGCTGTACCCAACGGCCATCAGAAATCAAAGCCAAGTAGCCGGGCACATTGGCACCTGCCTGTAGTCCCAGCTACTCAGGAGGCTGAGGCAGGAGGATGAGGCAGGAAGATCTCTTGAGCCCAGGAGTTCAAGGCCAGCTTGGGCAATATAGAAAGACCCTATCTCATTTTTTTAAAATAATTATTTTTTAAAAGGAAATAAAATGTTTAAAACATTGAAGTCAAGTGAGAAGTTTATGTATTTGTAGACATTGTATCTGTTCACAAAATATGTAAGTATTTGATAGAAATTTTTGTAATAATGAAAACAACTACCATTATTGAGTACACAATAGATAGCTGGCTTTGTGAAACCCCCCGTGCATTGTCTCATGTAATCCTCCTGTAAGTCAGGTACTCTTATTGTCCCCATCTTACAGTGAGGAAGCTGTATTTGACAAGGTCACACAGCTAGTGAGTGGGAATTTGGAGAGTGGAGTTGTGGATCTCAGACTCAGGACACTATCTCCTTTGGTTCACTCAGTTCAACAGTTTGGTTTTTTTGTTTTTATTTTTAAGCTATTGCTATCTAATTGTCATTAAATCTACAAATCTGTCTTATAGGAACAAGTGGTGATGAACTTGGACAGCAGGCTTCTGATCTTCCCCTTATATATCTGCTGTAACTTCTTGTATATATCACCAGAAAAAAAGAATTGAAAATAATCGTCACCCAGAAAATACAGAAAACTGAAGATCTCATCAGTTGGAAACAGTAGCACTTTGAAAACTTTTTAGGCCAGTTTTAATTTAATGGCCCTACTGATATTCACATCTAAGGTGACTAACAATGACAAAGGCCTTACGAACTGTACGGACAATACAGAAGATTATTCTTATCCTCATTGCATTTCTATGCATATACGAAAAAACATTTTAAAGCCAAGAAAATGTCTGTCAAACCATTTCTGTTGGAGCGATGTCAACTCATGCGTTTAATTTAGCATCAGTAGAAAATTGCTGTAGGTAAATCTCACATTTATCTGCAACAAAATATAGATTTAATTTTTAGCTTAAACTTTCTTTCTGCCTTATGTTAGTGGACCTCAGTTATCCATCTGTAAATTTCTTTTTATTTGGCTAAAATAATCTAAAAGAATAATTCGGATGGCCAATTAGAAATGCTCTTTTCAGTTGGTGCATTTAAAGCTTTCCTTTAATATTTTCACCTCTCATTATGATGCCTCCTTTTAGTTCAATATCTTTCCAGCTCACACTTGTTTTTAATCATTAAATATTTTTTTCCTGGTTTTGGAGACTAAACTGCGAAACTTTTTTTTAAACTTAAGCATTGTCATTGCTATTTTTTTAAATTAGGCTTTCTTAGGATTTTAAGAACAATGAAAGTTAGCTTCACACCTTCAAATGATCTTGAATGAGGGAAAAATCAGTTTGATTCCAAGGATATTTCTTGCCTTACATGGTCTTTTCTTTGACAGTCTGTACACCTTTATTATTAGGTTTAGAATTATTTATGTACCAGATATTATAGTTTTAAACATTTTAATATTCTCTGATCTTTAGAATTATTTATGTTCAAATTTTAGTTGGGAACTTTGTTTCCTACTTAAACTCAGGACTTTATACCCTCTGAATTGAGTGCCTTTGAGTTACACATGCTAATAGAAATTTCATAGTAAATGTAAATAAGGTCAGAGGATCTAATATAGAACCTGATGATGAAGCATTAATGTAAAAATGGAACTTATTTTTGTCAAAAATGAGATGTACACTTGTCGTGATTTATATATGTTGACCTTTTGTGTTTATTACTGTTTTGAGAATAGCCATGTTCATTTTCTTTCCAGTTAGAGTAAGTACTTCTGTGGTTAATGTATATTTTTATTATGGTTTTTAAAATGGGAATCATTTTTATGTATCTGTGCAAATAATAAATGCCCATTTGGAAAAAGAGTAAGTAAGCTCTTACATAAAATGGACCAAAAAACCCCCCTTAACTGAAACCAAAATTTTTTTTCTTTCTAGTTAGGTTTTTATTCCAACTCCTTTTAACTTTTGGAATTTATTAATAATTTTTTTCTTTCTTCATGATATGCCCATAGGTTCATAAATTGCTTTTGTTCTTTTAAAATTCATCCATTTGGTTTAACTTAAAGGAACCTTTTAAATGCCTCACCCTTGACCCTCAGAGCTGGAATTTAAATGTTTCTAATACAGTGATTTGGCTGTTATCAAGAGGTTACATTTCAGCTGGTCGTCAGCCGGGTGTGGTGGCTCACACCTGTAAGCCACTTTGGGAGGCCGAGGCAGGCAGATCATTTGAGGTCAGGAGTTTGAGACCAGCCTGACCGACATGGAGAAATCCCATCTCTACTAAAAAATAGAAAAAATTAGCCTGGCATGGTGGCACACGCCTGTAATCTCAGCTACTCAGGAGGCTGAGGCAGGAGAATCACTTGAACCCGGGAGGCAGAGGTTGCAGTGAGTGGAGATTGCACCACTGCACTCCAACCTGGGCGACAGAGTGAGACTTCATCTCAAAAAAAAAAAAAAAAAAAGAGGTTACATTAATTATTTTTATATTTGACTATATTAGGTCTCTTTCACGGGAAGCTGTTGTTTTCTTTCTATCTCATTACTGTATAAGAGTTTCCTTACCCTTTATGTATTGAAATATATATAAATGCCAAACTTAAATTATTTGGATAATTAAGTTTTTGCAAATCTTGGAAGTAAAGATAATGTTTGAGCATATTAATGAATAAAGTTAACTGTTTCATTTCATTTATATAAGTTAACTGGCCAAATTGGAATTGTATGTGGTTTCATCCATTGGTTCTGTCCTGGCCAAGTTGCTTATGTCATCCATAGACAGAATAATTCTTCAATCACAAGTAGGTTAATGTTCTTATTTGAGAAATTGATAATTGTCAGCTAGTAATTCACATTGGTAGTAAAGATGTGCTTTTGTTTTCTTACCAAATACTTTTATGTGTTTGCAGAGTTTGTTCTTTTCAATAGAAATATTTTCAATAAAGTGTTAATAGTGTAAGCTAAAGTATTATATAAACTATGGTTTATGAAAGCTTTGTGTTTTGTCAGCTTTTATCTTACAGCCTCTACTATTTTTTTATGCTAGGGCTAGAAAACAACATTTATATTTTAAGAATGATTTGTGTTTGTCAGTAAGGAAGAGGTCTTTAAGAAAATATGTCCTAGAGTTTCACACTAAGTTATTAAGAAGGGATATGAATACCTTTCCTTTAAAAAAAAAAATGGTTTGGCATGAAACTTAGCAAGAAAGGTAAAACCGTATGGAGAACAATGGTAGTCAGTTGTTTTGTTTTGTTTTGTTTTGTTTTGTTTTTGAGGCGGAGTCTCGCTGTGTCACCAGGCTGGAGTGTAGTGGTGCAGTCTTGGCTCACTGCCACCTCCGCCTCCTGGGTTCAAGCGATTCTCCTGCCTCAGCCTCCTGAGTAATTGGGACCACAGGCACGCGCCACCACGCCCAGCTAATATTTGTATTTTTAGTAGAGACAGGGTTTCACCATGTTGGCCAGGAAGGTCTCGATCTCTTGAGCTCATGATCCGCCCACCTCAGCCTCCCAAAGTACTGGGATCTCAGGCATGAGCCACTGCCCGGCCTGTTTTTTGTTTTTTGTTTTGTTTTTTTACGAAGTGTTTCACAGCTAACATTTTATCTAATTTCAAGTCTTTCAATAGGATTACCATCATATGTGAACAATTTTCAACATCAAATGCAAAAATAGGGTTACTGGGGGCCGGGCACAGTGGCTCATACCTGTAATCCCAGCACTTTGAGAGGCCGAGATGGGCAGATCACCTGCGGTCAGGAGTTAGAGACCAGCCTGGCCAACATGGTGAAACCCCGTCTCTACTAAAAATACAAAAATTAGCTGGGCATAGTGGCGGGCGCCTGTAATCCCACCTACTCAGGAGGCTGAAGCAGGAGAATCGCTTGAACCTGGGAGGCAGGGGTTGCAGTGAACCGAGATCGTGCCATTGCACTCCAGCCTAGATGACAGAGTAAGACTCTGTCTCAAAAAATATATTAAAAAATAGGGTTACTGAAGATCACTGTGGCCACTTGTGTAAGTTAATTAAAATTTAAAGAAATTTAAAATGTACTCCCTCAGTCACACTAGCCACACTGTAAGTGCTCAGTAACTCATGTACCTGGTGGCTACCATATTGGACAGTACAGCTATAGAATATTTCTATTGCAGAAAGTTCTGATAGCTGATGTAGAATATTGGACTGGTAATTGTTAAACTGTTTAAGATGAACCTGTGTAAAGAATAGAAAATAATAGAGCCAGGGGTACAAATGATAAGCATAAATGACTTGTCAATCTCCTGAAATGTGTTCAACCAATATGGACCCAATCATGTGACTGGATTAAAATTTTTAAAAAGGCATGGCACAAACTCTCCTCAACCAGAGAGTTTTAATTCTTCCCAAGGTCTAAGGTACAGGGGTACAAAGAGCAAAAATCCTCAAAGGGCATCAATCATTATTAACTAGTGGTCAGACTGTATCTAATTATGGAGCAGAATTACTCAACAGCATACATTCATTTGTAAAGTATGAAAGGCTGGGCATAGTGGCTTATGCCTGTAATCTCAGCACTTTGCGGGGCCAAGGCAGGAGGATCTCTTCAGGCCAGGAGTTTGAGACTAGGCTGGGCAGCATAGCAAGACCCCATCTCTACAAAAAATATTTTTTTAAAAAATAGGTGAAGCCAGGTGCAGTGGCTCACGCCTGTAATCCCAACACTTTGGAAGGCTGAGGAGGGTGGATCACCTGAGGTCAGGAGTTTGAGACCAGCCTGGACAACATGGTGAAACCCTGTCTCTACTAAAAATACAAAAATTAGCTGGGCATGGTGGCACGTGCCTGTCGTCCCAGCTACTCGGGAAGCTGAGGCAGGAGAATCGCTTGAACCCAGGAGGCAGAGTTTGCAGTGAGCCAAGATCACGCCACTGCACTCCAGCTTGGGTGACAGAGTGAGACTCCATCTCAAAAAAGTAAATACATGAATATAAAAGTAATAAAAATTAGCTGGGTGTAGTCCTCGCTATTCAGTAGGCTGAGGCAGGAGGACTGCTTGAGTCGAGTTCAAGGCTGCAGTGAGCTATCATTGTACCCACTATACTCCAGCATGGGGAACAGAGTAAGACCTTGTCTCTTAAAAATAAACTAGAATACTTTTGTAATGACTGGTAATTTTATATGAACTAGGACTGGCAAATGTTAAAAAAAAAAAAAAAAATCTAACTTCCTGGCTCAAAATAAAATTCCCTGCGTCAACAATGACTTTGCTGTTCAATCCTGTAGGTTAGATGTGCATTCCCTTTAACTAACATTTAAAATTGACCACTTTGCTCTCCTTAAAAAGGAGTCTTCTCTTAAACTTCTCTGACATCACACTATTTCTATTTCTCTGGCCACTCCTTGGTCTAATTTTGTTTTCTTCCTCTGGCTGTCTCCAGGCTCTTTTCTCTCCTGAGCCTGCACCAAGTGATTTCATGTACTCTCATGGCTTCAAATGACCATCTGTATTTTGATAATTCCTTTTCCTATAGTTCTAGCCTAGATCTCTCTTCCAAGTTCCAGATACACATCTAGTTGACATCTCCTCTTGAGTGTTCAAAATAGCACCTAAAGTTAGCGTGTCCAGATCTGCATGCATCTGCTTTCCCCGGAATTTGTCTTGTATGCCTCATGTCAGCAAATGACACTACTCAATTATGCAAGCCAGAAACCTAGATGTCATTCTCGAATCTTCCAACTCCCTCATGCTCTGCATCCAGAAATCACAAAGTTCTTGTGATTTTACCAACTGTATCTCAAATGCAGCCACTTCTCACCTTGCCCACTGCCACCATTCTAGTACAGACCATGATAATTTCCAACCTGGATTATTGCACCAACCTCCTGTGTTTTCCCCTTCTAATTGAGTCTCCACATTACCCAAAGAGTTATCTGCATAAACTCAAATCTCTGTCTATTCTCCTATCCTCAAAATTCTTTGAAGGTCCCCCATTTGCCCTCAGGATAACTCTGTACAATAGCTAACGAGTCTGTTTCAGCCTTGTCTTCACATCTCCACACTCTGTCCCCAAGGTGGCTGTCATACTTTCCTTTAGTTCTCTAAAGAGCCCATCCTGTCCCTCGCTTCCTGCCCTTGCACATGCAGTCTCCTCAGCCTGGACAATCTCTTCCACCTTTCCCCACCACAGATGTCACCCCATTTCACCCGGCTAGTTTCTGCTCATACTTTAGGTCTTGTTTGGACGTTGTTTTCTCCTGGAAACTTTTCTTGACAACCTTCCCATGGTATGTGCCCTCCTAGTACTCTGTTCTTTCCCCATTGCACTTTCACACTGTTTACTTGTTTGTATCCCCCACTGGACTGCAAGCTACTCACGACTTGTGTCTTTTGCATTGTTAAATCCTCTGATACATGTGGTGTGCCATAAATGTGTGAATAATGACAAACTGTAGTAACATGCCTTTTTTATTTTCTGATGTTTTGACATCTGGGTTCTTACTAAGACTTATCTTCCTAGGACTAATTCCTAGAGATTGCAAAAGACTCCCATTGGAGCATGCCTTACATATACACCCCAGCCAATCCAAAGCCCACATCCCCAACTACCTCCTTTAACAAACTCTCATAAGCCAAGCCAATATTCCCATCCCCTAATCACCCCAGGGCTAGCCTCTTACCTGACAGCCTGCTGAAGTTATTCAAACTAGCCAAACTAGCCAGTCTTAGAAGTTGCTTACCCTGCCTCACCCATTCCTTCCCATGACAACCACAGTAAAGTCTCACCCATGCTTTCCCCTCATTCCCTTCACCTCCTGGTCAACCCTAGTGCTTCCCTGTGTGGAATGCCATGCTTCCTGCTTCTAGGAAACTGACTGTAATGTTTTACTCAGTTAAAAACATCTTCCTTCGTGACATTCACATCTGTGTCTCTGTGTCTTACCATATGCTATGGTTTGAGTGTGTCCCTCAAAAGTTCATAAAATGAAAATTGAATTCCCATTTTAACTGTGTTGAGAGGCAGGACATTGGAGAGGTGATTAGGTCACAAGGGCTCCACATTCATGAATGAATTAATGCCATTACTGTGAGAGGGGGTTTCTGCTGAAAATGATGAGTTTGCCCCCTCCCCCCTTGCTCTCTGTCGCACGTGCTTCCTCACCACACGATGCCTTCCACCATGGGATGACCCTCACCAGATGCTGGCAGCATGCTCTTAGACTTCCCAGTCTGCAGAACCACGAGCCAAATAAACTCCTCTTCTTTGTAAATTATCCAGTCTGTGGTATTCTGATACAGCAGTAGAAACAGACTAAGACACCATATCTGATTAAAACATTCCAGATTTTTAAAACACACATTTACTAAGTGCTATGTGCTATTATTCTTCACAACAGTCTAATGTATTAAACTTTATTATTCCCACTTTAGAGAAGAAAAAACTGAAAGCTTAAAGCTTAAGAATATTGTCCAAGGTGGTAAAGCTGTGGAGCAGTGGAGCTGAAAGTAAACTCAAACCCCAGAGCTGTTTTCCTTTAAAAAAAAAAAAAAAATTGCATATGTTTAAAGTGTACATGATGTTTTGATATACATAGTAAAAAGATTAGGACATGCAGGCAAATTAATATATCCATCACCTACCACTATTACCTCTTGTTTTGTGTGGTAAAAGCGCCTAAAATCTCCGCTCTGCAAAACTTCAGTATACAATATTAATAACTCTAGCTCTGTGGCATATTGGACCTCTAGACTTATTCATCCTACATAACTGCAAGTTTCTACCCTTTGAACTACATCTCCCCATTTCCTCCTCCTCTCTGCCCTTGGTAACTACCATTCTACACTGTGTATGTGACTCTTTTTGGATCCCAGATATAAATGAGATCATGCAGTATTTTTCTGTGTCTGGCTTTTTTCACTTAGCATAATGTCCTCCAGTTTAATTCATGTTTTTGCAAATGACATATTTCCTCTTTTAAG